GTATGGTGGTAGTCAAGATACTACCAATACACTGGCAGATACAATTAGGAAACTTAAATATAAACCTTCGGTTTGAAGGTTATAAACCACATACCTTGATTGTGCACATACCCTCCTCTCCTAGTAACATATTCTCCGTTTGTTATATTATGTTGTACATCTTTCTCTCAGTGCACCACTAGTCCGTGAGTCGATCGACAGGAACCTGGCGGCGAGGGATGGGAAAGCGATGGAGTCGTTGGCGGTAAGCGTTCTGTTCAGTTCCGGGCTTTGTTACATAATAGGTGAAGTTTTATTGTCGAAAGCTATTAAACTTTTCCCATCAAAAGTGTACGATGTTGCCACACGGAAAAGGTGTAGAGCATTAAAGTTGTGCCAGTCAGGAAGGTGGAAAAGCAGTCTGGGAATCGGAGGAGCAGACCCTTGGGTAGTTTGGGGAATGGCTCTGATGGTAATGATGATTTTGCGGTCCATGATGGCACTTTTATATTGCGTGAGCAGTGCATACACAATTCGATAGACACACAATTAATTGATTATATATTTTTCCCCCAGATGTGACATAAAACCCCTCGAATTTTGAATGTCCTTTTGAGTATATACATTAGTGGCAGAAAGAACATGAAACATCAAACTTGAAAGTTCCATGGATTTGTATTAAATTTGCGGCATCATCGGATGACAATAATATGTTGCCCACATTCTAACCCAAGGGACTGAAAAACAATTGACTCCTTGCGTTGGGCAAGGGAATCGACCTTGTTTTTCCGATTTTGTTGCCGATTGTTGGCACTCCACTCCATCTTCGATTTGTGTTTTTCCAGCCATGCAGTCGGGGCACGCATTGCGCATAAAATAGCTGCCACAGAGGGATTTCGAGGGGGCTCATTGGGGGCTAGTGGCCCCTCAGAAGTTCCACTTCATTTGGGGCGGTCGCTTCGTGTGCGGTTGATGTCTACATTTTCAGCATGTTGGTTAAGCACTCCGGCAAGTTGCTTGTTTTTCCGGTTTTCCGGTTCCACCGCTTCCGCCAATATTTTTTTTGCGCCCGCTGAAATTGAAAAAGTTTATGAGCAATTTTAAAAGTGAGTTTCCGACTTCACCGGACGGACGGGTTGTCCGAGATGGGGTTAATTCGGATTTTGTGTCGAATGGTGCTAATGAATTGGCTCGTTTGCACTTGTGGTTGCACTGCTGACCTCCGAACTCTGCCCACGCCCCCAAACACTTGAAATGCAATTAATCAGTGTACGATGATGGCAAAAAGTTGTGGCCAAAACCGATAGCAGGGGCACACCGCAAAGAAACCTCAAAGCCGAAAACATTTGCAAATTCGTGTATACTCGTACATATATCTGGAAATTAGGGTGGATATCAGGCGTTTAGAAGGCAAAAGCTCTCAGCAAAAGCTGAGAATTACCCTTGATTGTCCATAATGTATTTTTCTTTCTATTAGGGTAAAATTATGTAGAATAAACAGTAAAGGATAGTTGTAGTGTAAGATAAATAAGTATAACAGAGCTAAATTATTGGTGGCTCAAATAAATACTCCTGATTGTTTTTTATATTTACCCAATAAGACATGATATACTTTGGATTATAGATATGGGTCGGCCTTAATTACCCTCCAATGGCAGCTATTAAAGCTAGTGAGAGTTATTTGTTCTAATTGCAGCTTGTACATGTGTTGTGTTGCACCCAAATTCAAGTTGTAAACATGCACCCATACCAGTGTACTTTATGGCGCACATCCACGCGCACCAGCGCATGTTCGGAGAGGAAGAAATAATGTTGATGCAATAACATGCAACTTTGACACCATCACAAGTGCAAAGGCCACCCAAAGGACTCTATGCTCGTGTGTGTGCGCGTGTGTGTGTGTGTGAGTGAGCGAGTTACATGCTCTTAACGTTGATTTGTGCATCGACCGTAGGATCTGAAGCCAGTTCAGAGGCACTTGCAAGTCCTGCTTACCCCACTCCAGTTCACAGGACTTCACAGGACTCCAGTCTACTCCTCTCCACTTCAGCTTACTTCAGCTGAGCACGGCTAAGTTTCATTTGCAATTTTCATCTGCAGCTGTTGCAAAGTGCACGGCACACAAGACCAAAACACAGAAATATCATTTCGGGAACTGGGAAAATGGAATTGGAAGAGCAAGTTCAATTTGTAATTGAAATGCCGAGTATCTCTCGCTTTTACCCAAAATTTGATACTTGACTGAACTGACTGAATCAATGCATTGGTTTAAATCTATAAATTATTCGTAATAGTATTATTCTAGGAAAGGGGTAGCACCATGATATCCTATCTATTCTTAGCTTTGAATACCAAAATGTTTGCAAGACAAACCACAGCTGTCAGTTGCCTTTTCGAGCGATTTTTCCATCACCCAGCCCGGAAAATGCAATTAGATTTAATAAATAAATGTGATTTGCAGACTAGGAGAAGACGCGAGACACGCCACACAGTAAAACCCAAGAGGTATGGCCATTAAAATTGCCGGAGCCAAGAAGTGGAAACGGAATTATTACAACGGGCTATTAAATTATTTTTAATTGGTCGCCCGCAAGCAAAACTCAGCGGAAATTGAATCAAATGCTGAGAACCACTCACTACCAAGGTCAGAGTTCGTAATTACTCGATATATTTTCGCCTGTCTACGTCTTTTATGGCACATTAACTACAGGGACCCTGAGCCAAAGGGATGCCGATCTTGGGCCCGAATAAAAGCACAACCTGCAACTCCGTGTACCAGATGTAGATGTCCAGGCAGTTGAACTGAGCGATGGGGCCAGTAATTATGACAACCGCAGTCATCGGAGGCATTCAGTGGGTCCACAACGAAGCGGTCCTAATGGGTAATTAATTGGTGTGTTGACAGTTCAAAAACCACAAGAATTGCCCATGCGATGGGGGTTTTAGGTTCAGACACACTTATTCGAACATTGAACAGAGTGTTCTGTGCACCTCAATTGTATTCACCAATAGGAAGGAGTTCTATACAAAAGTTTTATAATCTTCAAAAATAAATTCGCAGGCAACGTGTCGAATGACCCACGAGCGGATGAACTACAACTAATATATTAATCTTGCCAGGTTCGAACTCATGAATTTATTTTACCGTCTCCAATTCCATCGCATAAATCATAATCAAGGGAACTTTGGCACCTGAAAAAAGTTCTGGAAAAATGCTCGTGGGAATGAGAAGCAATAAAAATGATATTGCCTGTCAAGAAAAGCCAAGGACGAGCAGTGAAATCAATTAAATGCATTTTCCAAAGTCCCATCTCATCTCATTCACCCTTCCGCTTCCGCTTCCTTACTCCTCTTGTCATTTTCTGGCTTTGCTCGTTTACCTAAGCTTTAAGTTGTTATAATTTATGGCGTCTGTAATTGCAGCAATTTGTGCGATGCGCCAGGTAGGCACAACCCCCACTCCTCAACTCCCAATCCCAATCCCACCCACCTGGACGTGCTCGTATTTGAGATGGAACTTATATACAACGTGCTACACATGACCCCGCCATGCTCGGATGCACCGGAAAAAAGTAAGATTAGGAATTTGTATTTCCACAATTATGCATATTTAAGTATTAAAACAAGACTATGGGACTGAGCACAAATCAGAGCATAAACATCAATAAATGTTTCCTGAAATAAAAGGGAGTCTAAAAGAATACTTTAATTTCCAATCGATATTATGCATATTTGATTCTATCCCTTCGCTCATTTAAAAATATGTTCGCAGTGTGGAAATTGCTTTTCTCCATCCATTTTTTGTCGCCTCCGTTGCAGGCAAAATGTCAGCAACGTTCAGGACCTGATGCCCTACCATCCCCCTCTCTCTCTCAGGCCCCCTACCCGTCTCTTTCTTTCTGCGGTCCGGGCTGCTGCTTGATTGCACTTTTAATTAACTTTTTTGCGAGCTTCCCAGCCCGGGATCCTTTGGATCCTTCGGATCCTGCTCCTGTTTCAGCTGCTGCCAATTGTCGGCACTTTGTGCTTTATACTTTCGCCTCGTCATTAACAAAAAGCAAACAAGTCGTCCACGGTTCCCATAAATAATGGCAATCTCTACCAACCACCACCCACCAGCCACCGCCCATCGGAAAATTATTTGTAGACAGTTTAAGCCATATCCAGGGCTTTCGCCATAATTCCGCCCGCCGGCCAATATGTTAATTCAATTCGCCGCATTGTAATCAGCGGCAGCCAAATGGTGAGTGCCGCAAATGTTTACGGATTCCCTCAGCTCACCGGATTTCCAGATATTTTCCCTGGCAGGTGAGTATTGGCAGTGCAGGCACGCGTAATGTTATGATTGGAAAATGAAAATCATTTACGTGAGCAACCAATTTGCAGCTCATATAAAGCAAATCTAGCGGCAGTTGCATTACCCACAGCAATTCGGGGAAATCGATCGGTTTGCCGGGTTATCATGTGTGAAAATTAATGCGCCCAACGTGATGAGCATGACGATAGATTGCTTCACATCGTAGGTATTGACCTGGCCCAGAAAGGCCAAAAACTGCCCAAAACGGCTGCCAAAACGAAGTAATCGATTGGTGGACGGGTCCCTGATAAATAAATACTACACCATTTTTGTAACCCTACAAACGCCAATAACAAAGCTCTACAACAACGTTGTTGACTTAAAGTCATTTCTATTTAAAAAAGGTGAATTAGCATTACTCGATTAGATCGCCATTGCTGAACATTATACATCATACTAATAAAAGGATACAAATATATAAATTATGTATTTGCTTGCTTTTGAAACGCACAATAAATTAATAATATTTAAATCGTTTTTTCAAGCCATAATTATTACTTCACTATCTGAATAGCGATGTATTTCAATCTGTTATTAAGCCAAACAAATAAACCACTCCAATGAATTTATAATCGATCATATATGGCAACTGTAATTAAATACGGTCGTCATTTTGGTTCCAGCACACAAAATTCAGTACTCAGTTGGTAACCAAAAATGGAAGATGACCGCCAAGCAAATTTTCCTGACTGTGGCTATTTTGATATTTTATTTTGTGATGGAAGTACGTAAATTTGCAAAATAAATTTCAATAAAATATGTAATCTTACCATTTTTTCAAGACCAATTCACGCTTTGAATTTACGAACCTAAACTGTACTTCTTTCGACATGGGAATTGGAGAATTTGAGTACTGCAACTTAAAGTCGATAAATCGAAGCTACAAATATGTTTCCGGAAAATATAAGTTGCATCAAATTCCGTTACCGATCATGAAGGTAACTCAATTAATAAACAGGCTGATGAAATTTCATGATAATGATAATTCACTTACTTAAAGCTTAATTTTATAATGTGGAAACGACTCAATGGATACAGGCCTTTTCTCTACAACATTACAGTAGATGCATGCAGATTTATTGAAAATCCAAAATCCAACCCGGTCTTAAAATATATCTTTGATTCATTTACCGGTTATTCGAATATAAACCACTCATGTCCCTATACGGTAAGTAAAATTAAATATCCTAGTACTATTTACCCCACTATAAAATTATTTAGAGCGATTTAATTGTGGAAAAACTGCCAATTGGTTTTTTGAATCACCGAGTGACTGAAATTCTTCCCATCCCCGAGGGTAATTACCTGTTTGAGTTTCGATTAATTCGCTTAAAGTCTATTTTTGCGAGCATACAAGTCTATTTTACTATTTCATAATGTTGTCAAAAGTGTACAGAACTATAACTTATCGAATGTTTTCAGTAAAAATTAAAAACCTGAAAAAATAGCTACGCCTATTTGGTATTGTATTTATTTTTAATTACGATCGATTACCTGATCGATTATCAAAATTGCAAAAATAAAAGTTGAAGTACTTGGGAGTAGGCATTCAGCTTAAATGGTTGGTACTATTCATGCGTACTATTCATACTAATAATGAAGATAATCATATATACGTGGTATATATGTTTGCTTTAAAAGCTTATTTTAAACGCACAAAAAATTAAAAATGATTAAGCCGCTCTTCTAAATGTCATAATTATTACTTTACGATCTGATAAGTGATTTATTTCAATGTGTTTTCGGCCAAACTCGCCAAATCAATCATATATTCCAATTGAAAGTTGCAGCACTAAAAAATTCAGTTCTCGGCTGGTAACCAGAATTGCAGGATGGGCGCCAAGGAAATGTTTCTAATTTTGTCCGTCTTGATAATTTATTCAGTCCTGGAAGTAAGTAAATTTACAAATAAATTTAAGCAAAATACGTAATCCTAAAATTTTTTCAAGACCAAATCACTATTTGAGTTTACGAACATAAACTGTAGTTCTATTGACATGAAAGTGGGAGAGTATGAGTACTGCTACTTAAAGTCAATTAATAGAAGCTACAAGTATGCATCCGGAAAATTTAAGTTGCATCAAACTCCGTTAACGCACATGAAGGTAATTCAATTAAAAAACATGCTGATGGAATTTCATTATAATAATTCACCTTCTTGAAGATTAATTGTATGTTGTGGAAGCGGTTCAATGGATACAAGCCTTTTCTTTACAACATAACATTCGAGTTTTGCAAATTTTTAAAAAATAAGAAGACAAACCAGGTCATAAAATTTCTCTTCGACTCATTTAGCAGTTATTCTAATTTGAACCACTCATGTCCGTATTCGGTAAGTGAAATGAAGTACCCTTCCTGTATGATTTACCAATTATAAAATTATTTAGGGCGATTTATATGTGGACAAGCTGCCCATTGGTTTTTTGAATCACCGGGTGACTGAAATTCTTCCCGTGCCCGAGGGCAAATACATGCTTGAGTTTCATTTTTTTACCCTAAATTCTAATTTTGCAAGGCTACAAGTCCATTTTATTATTTCATAATGGTTTCAAGAGTACACAGAATCATAACTTACCGAAGTTAGGAACCTAAATAAATTACCTGAAAAAAATTACGATCGATTATTAAAACTGCAAAAATAAAAGTTAAAGTACTTGCGAGTTTGGCAGAGCATTCAGCTTAAATGGTTGGTACTATTACTGCACATCATAATAATAAAGAGAATCATATAAAAGTTGTATATATGTTTGCTTCAAAAGCTGATTTGAAACGCACAATAAATTTAAAATATTTAATCCGCTCTTCTAAATGTCATAATTATTACTTTATGATCTGATAACTGATTTATTTCAATGTGTTTAGGCCAAACTAGCCAAATCACTCAAACGAATATAATTTCAATCATCAATTGAAAGTTACAGCACTAAAAAATTCAGTACTCAGTTGGTAAACAAAATTGGAAGATGAGCGTCAAGGAAAAGTTTCTAATTTTGTCCGTTTTGATATTTTATTCAGTCATGGAAGTAAGTAAAATTACAAAATAAATTTAAAAAAAATGTCTAATACTAAAATTTGTTCAAGACCAAATCTTTATTTGAATTTACGAACATAAACTGTACTTCTTTTGATATGAAAATGGGTGAATATGAGTACTGTTACTTAAAGTCCATCAATCGAAGCTACAAATATCTTTCCGGAAAATATAAGTTGCATCAAATTTCGTTAACGAGCATTAAGGTAATTCAATTAAAAAACATGATTGAATTACTTTATAATGATAATTCACTACTTAAAGGTTAATTGTATATTGTGGAAACGACTCAATGGATACAAGCCTTTTCTCTACAACATCACAGTAGATGCATGCAGATTTCTTAAAAATCAAAAATCAAACCCGGTCCTAAAATTTTTGTTTGACTCCTTTGCCAGTTATTCTAATGTAAACCACTCATGTCCTTTTACGGTAAGTGAAATGAAGTACCCTTCCTGTATAATTTACCAACTGTGAAATTATTTAGGGCGAGGTCTTTGTAGACAAGCTGCCAATTGGTTTTTTGAATTACCGAGTGACTGAACTTCTTCCCATCCCCGAGGGCAAATACCTGCTTGAGTTTCACTTTTTTAGCCTAAATTCTATTTTTGCCAGGGCACAAGTATATTTTATTATTTCATAATGGTATCACGAGTGTACAGAATTATAACTTGCCGAAGTTAAGAACCTGAACAAATTGTTGAGCTTATTTGGTACTGTGTTTATTTTTAATTACGATCGATTACCTGATCGATTACCAAAATTGCAAAAATAAAAGTTAAAGTACTTGGGAGTTTAGCAGAGCATCCAGCTTAAATTGTTGGTACTTTTATCAATAACACAATATGCCGCCGATAGTAAATCCCCTTGGTTACTTTTCAATTAACAAGATTTTTATGGACTTGCATTAACCCTCAATGAAGTTAAACACAAAATTGGCCCCAAACAAAGAGGCTAAGTGCGCGGCTGGGGAAAATTGTATAAATGAAAACTAAATATTTACTTTGGCCCCTTGTTATTGCTGCCAACTGACAGCAAGAAAACAAAGAAAATTGAGAAAAGGTTTTCCCGGCCAAAGAAACCAGCGCTTATCTATGAGCGTTGAGCGCCCAAATAAGTAAGTCAATAAATCAATTCAATAAAATTTGTGCTGCCTTTTTATATTTGAAGTTTTTGGCCCCGGTTCTTTTTTTTTTTTTTGTTTTTTTTTTTGGCGCTTCTGCTTTTGGCAAATCCCAAGCAAACAAATGTGAGCAGGAAAAACTTTCGGCCTGGAAAATGTTTGGCACTCAGTAGGGAAAACAATGGCGAGGGGAGCAAGGCTCGAGAAAGGGTCAAAGGTTAAGAGGGAATGAGGGCTTGGACCAGAAAGATACATAAGCACTGATAACTGAAAAGTTTATCAATTTGTAAAACGACAGCCGCAGACATAAGGAGTTTTCGCCGAAAAAGTGAGGGAGCAGTTTGGCTGAGTTCAGTCGTTTGATTTGAAGAGCTTTTCGTTGGGGTTTCTGAATCTGCTGAGCTTTCTTCATGTACATTTGTTGCCTTTATTTGCTTTGAAATCAATGCTAATAATTAATTTAAATTAAGTGCTGGCCCGGAGGAAGTGTTTGCTTTGGTATTTCCTTCTTCTGGCCACTGAATAGCCCACAAATCGGCCATCATTCACACATAAGGCCATGCCTGTGGTCATATAACTCAAATGAATTGTTTATACAGCGCCAAAAACTAAACAGCAACAATTGCGATTGCCGAAAAAAGTTGAAACAATGAATGAAATGTTTGCGTTACGTGTCAATATTATCTTTTTATTTCAGCGCCGTTTTGTTTATGTGCAAAAAGAGAGGAAGCGCCTTTTGGCCGCTCGGCGGTTTGGCTTTCTGCATGCGAGCATAAAAAACATTGTTTTAAAAATACTTGACCAGTGCGCGGCTATTTTGGCAGTTCTATTTTGGCCATGTCTAACGCAGCAAATGTATATCAGCCCGAAGACTTTGTGACATGCCGACATGACGAAACGGGTGTTCAAAGTGTCAGGCGCGAAATCTGTTGAAATGCGAACAACTTGACTCAACTTGACTGGCAAATTATTCAGCAAATCCCCAGACCCACAGACCCACTTGCGATCGGCTAGTCTCTAATTTAGATAATCTTGAGGTGAATCAATTGCGGGTGTCGTCCACTTAATCTCGGCCAGCTGACCGCAGTTGCCTCTCCTCTTAATTGCGCCTAAAATGCGCTGCCAGCGGTATTTTGGTGCTATTTTAATAGTCGCAGATCGGATGTATATCGTTTTTTTAAATGGAAGGGTAGCACGATTGGTTGATTGTGGCTAATGGGATGGCCGGTGAAATTTTTTATATTTTTTATTAGGCGTTTAAATGAATATTTAATTTCTATGTACAAGTAAACCATGTTTAAATACCTATTTAATTGCAAAACACAAGCACGTGCCATGATAATCTGAAACACATATTAATGATGTTTTTAATATTGCAAATGCTTAGTGACACTTATTAAGCTCTTCTATTCCACGGCAACACTTTCGAAAGTTTAATACACCTCTAGCTGTACCCAGTATCCATTGGATATGCCGAGAAGGATGGGGGACTGGACTGGGCTGAGCTGTCAGCGCTTTTGCCAAAATTTCGCGGCGGGAATGCAATGCTCTCATCGGTCCGTCCTGCCCGCTCCCCTCCGTACCCCTCCGCACCCCTCAGCGCCCTTTCCCAGCACTTAAAGCCCCCCGAAGCCCCAGAGGCCACCCACTGCCCACTGCCCACTGGCCAATCCCATCCACTGGTTAGCACCGGAAAGTATTCCTTTCTAGTCTGCGGCGGTCGTGTGACTCGCTTTTGTATCTCTGCGACTTGCGAATTCGCGGGGGCGTCAAAGTAAAATCGTCTCCGCTCTTTGCCAAATCGAACATCCAAGTGCCATCGATGCGCATTTTGGCTGGCAGCGGGTGCATTGGCATTGCAATGGATTCCGATTCCGATTCAGAGATTCCGAGTGCCCGAAATCTGGCGACCCATCCTTCCCAGCATATATTATGGAACAATCTGACGAGCGATATAGCGTTTCAGCAGCAAAGTCGTACATACATATCAATTGACCATCGCGACAAACAACATTGAGGGGCAAAAACGCACATATTGCTTGTGAGTGTGTTTTTTATGTGGCCATACACACAGATTGTTGCTTAAATATTGCCACGCTTCGCATAAAAGTTGCATGAAATCGGTTCCACCAGCGAAGCATTCAAATGTCGAGCGGAACTTCGAATGCGCTACCAAAAAATCAACTTACTACTATGGGAAGTACTTTCCAAATAATACCCACTAAAATATTAGGAGTATGGTGTAAACTTGTATCGTTAGATACATAACTAAATAGAGTTAATGAAAATCGTGAAAAAGTTGTGGATTGCTTACTTGGTACATTTTTTGATTTGATATAAATAAAATTTAAATTAAATTTAAATTGAAATATAAATATAAATTTTATCCGAACCGAAAGACTCCTTTTTAATTGTAGATCGCATATATTTTTGCACGAGGCGCGCACAAAGTCAAGACTATAATTATAGCGACACCCACCTATTGGCGCCCAATTTCTGGCAAACACACAGACACGGAGGCACAGCGCACGCACACACAATCAATATCACGGTCAAGTTGAAAATCATTGAGAGCGGATGTGGACATGGAATGGGGCATGGGGCATGGGGATTGGGGATAGAGATGGGGATGGGGTGGACATATCGCAGATGTGTAAATGTCTGTGAAGGTCGATCAGTCAGTCGCCCAGTCGACGATCGCAGAAGGGCAGTTCAGCGAAGAAGATGGCAGAGTGCGTGTGTGACATTAACCCAATAAAATAAATAAATAGATGGAACCCTACGAGAGCGGGGTGTATTTGTATTTTTATTTATATTTTCATTTTCAGCGGAGAGTGGGAGTCAAGGGCGTGAGATCCGCCGATCTCAGCCGATCTTCTTCGTGCTTTCAAATTGGGGCTTCTGAATCTTTTGAATGCCAAACGATGCCAGCGAAATTCGCTCAGTTTCGAGGAAAATCGCGTCGCGCCAACTTGGGAAATGCGTTGCGTCGTGTCCCGTGAAAATCATCGAGACTAAGGCCCCGCGAATCCCCAAAGGATTAGACCGAAAATAATAATAATAATCGCAAATAGCAAACGGCAAAAGGCAAACAAAGTGTGACCAAAGTGATATACGAGTATATGTGTGTGCCTGTCTGCCCGTCTTTTCGTAAATAAATCCATTGCTATTTTCGCAACCGCTCGCTTTGTGGGCAATTAGCACAAAGTGTCGAGCAATTTTCCGTCTCAATTGAAGTGCTGCTTACCCTTTGCCAAAAGCATCCGTTAAACAATGTGATGACTTAATGAAAAGTTAATATGTCTCTGAATAATTGCAGCAAATTGAAATATTAATTGTTCAACATTTGTTTCGTGTGAGCTGCGGGCCAAAGTTGTCTCTATCTCGCTATATTGGCATTGCCTGGCTAAAAATACAAGAAAGTCCACAGCTATACAAAATATAACAACAAGTTTTATTTATTGCCTAAATATATTTGTGTGTTCTCTGTGTGTTTGTGTCTCGTCGTCCATAAAGACGCTAGGCAAAGGCGTATAATTATCTAAATTCCTGTGCTAGTAACACTTTCAGCACCAGCAGAAAGTCAAGCCATTAAAAAATATATACCGAGCTGAGGCATCGCAAAAATCAGCACCAACAGAACGCTCAAAAAAGTTAATAATAAAAAAATATAACAAAAAACAGCAGGGGCGGAATAAATAATCAAGCAACATGTCGGCCTCCACGCGAAGTTCGGTGACGAGAAAATCATCGCTATCAAAAAGTTCTAGTTCAGACAAATCCGCAAAGTCCTCGCCGAATTCCTCGAAAACCCCGACAGCCGCCAGTGGAAACAAACAGAAAATGCAGTACACAAAAACCAAGGAGCGCATGGTCGATGGTAAAGAACTCTAGAGGCACTACGGACCCCAATCGAGCATTATCCCAAACACGATTCCCTCCTGCGATTGTATCTTTAATGACATGCGATCATGCTTCAATGGCATTCCGATGTGCTGACCGCCGTCATTAATGTCAAAATTGAGCGTTTCACAAATTGTTTTCTTTGAACATTTCAGTCGGCAGAGGGTAGCGTTTCGAAAAAGTATGTTTTGAGATCTGGGAAGTCATGCTTGTAATTTTCAAAACAATAGCATGGCTGCTCTTTCTCGATGGGCAGTACATCGATCGTTAAGTTTTCGTGTTTAAAAACTTATCAATGGGTACTTGGCATGGAAATAACATACAAAAGAAAACATTTGCATATTCCAGTATATTTATTCAGTTTCAAAATATTTTACAGACCACATAGGTTAGGGTAATAGCCCATCATTGGGGAAAATTTTTAAATAAATAATTAACTGATTCGCATAGATCTTCACATAACTCAATTTTTAATTACCCATATATCCGCGGACTTTGCCATAAATATATTTTAATTAATCAATTATTCGGCATCGTAACTAAAACCCTTAAATGAAAATGCGGTGCTCGCTTTTGTTCTTTGGTTTATGGGGCACATAAAAATTTATTTAATTATCTTTGAGCTCCCATAACAAGCAACAACTGCAACACATTGGCATTTTATTGGCCATTGCGTCCAAATTCAAGACATTTACCCAAATTATGACAATTAAAAATGGCGTTCGTCCTGCCATTTCGGTGTGTGCGTGTGTGTGTGTGCGCGATTACGTTTGTTTGTTTTGTGTGTGCCAATCAATTTTCGACTTTTATATTCACTCAGTCAAATTTTGTAATTAGCGTACGAGCCTCATGTGGCTGCATCTGGCGGAATTTCGGTTTTCTTTATAGCCGGGCCAAGAAAAGCGGCCGAACCAAATATTGGCGCTAAGTTGCAGCACCTCGTTAACCCACATCGCAGTCGGACAGCCATGTTTATTATAATTCTATCAATGCAAGCCTACACAGAAAGAATTCAGGACAACTTTAACAATTCTAAGAACTGCGTTTTGAAAGAGCTTGCAAATATATTTAGCCATTTTCCAATCACGTCATATGTGATATAAGATACAAGATGATCTTCTAGACATGGTAACAACAATCAAGGGATATTATTTAGTTAACATGCTATTTGCTTAACTTCTATGTAAGTTGTAATTAAATTGAAAGCTACTTAGATGTGCTTGCATACCTCTCAGATGTTCCACTGCCGCCCGCCCACAAACTGACCATGTCAGAGGTATACGACGATCCGAAGACCGGAAAACCCAACTTCGACGCACTGCGTCAGCACTTTCTGTTGGAGGGGCGGATCGAGGAGGCGGTGGCCCTGAGGATCATCACGGAAGGAGCCGCCCTGCTGCGCGAGGAGAAGAACATGATCGACGTGGAGGCACCCATTACCGTGTGCGGGGACATCCATGGGCAGTTCTTCGATCTCGTAAAGCTCTTCGAGGTGGGCGGTCCGCCGGCCACCACCAGGTACCTTTTCCTAGGCGACTACGTGGACAGGGGATACTTCAGTATTGAGGTGGGTCAATATTAAGTTATCAGGAATATATCCCGAGTTTCGGAGTTTTCCATTTCTACAATAAACTGTTCACTTGATTTCAGTGCGTTCTTTACCTGTGGTCTCTGAAAATAACCTACCCCACCACACTTTCCCTGCTGCGAGGAAATCACGAGTGCAGGCACCTCACAGAGTACTTCACCTTCAAACAGGAATGTAAGTTGCACTTAGGACACAGTACGAAAATTCCGTCATATAAACAGAATGCCAGAATAGGCTAGTTATTATAAAACTGCTTGGTTTTCTGTTGATTTACAACCAAATTTAAAGAGGCAAACCCCCAGGCCGCAGCCACTTTACGATTGTTGTTACAGGAACTTAATGCGCTTTTAAATGCGAATGCAAGCGATAAATCTCCCGTCCTTCATTAATTCACTAATATTACTCTGTTGAAGGCATCATCAAGTATTCGGAAAGTATTTACGACGCCTGCATGGAGGCGTTCGACTGCCTGCCCCTCGCCGCCCTCCTGAATCAGCAGTTCCTCTGTATTCACGGCGGTCTGTCGCCCGAGATTTTCACACTCGACGACATCAAGACGGTAATAAAGCAGCGCCGAAATGTTTACAATATACTGTGCGAGTAATGTATCTGTGCGGGGTTTTCGCAGCTGAATCGTTTCAGGGAACCACCGGCCTACGGGCCCATGTGCGACCTGCTCTGGTCGGATCCTCTGGAGGACTTTGGCAGCGAGAAGACCAACGAGTTCTTCTCGCACAACTCGGTACGCGGCTGCTCCTACTTCTTCAGCTACTCGGCCTGCTGTGAGTTCCTGCAGAAGAACAGCCTGCTGTCGATAGTCAGGGCCCACGAGGCCCAGGACGCGGGGTAGGATCGGAAGTATCTCTCGGTGTAGCTCCATTTGATAATCGAACTCCTCTGATATCCTCAGATATCGCATGTATCGGAAGAACCAGGTTACGGGCTTCCCCTCGCTGATCACCATTTTCTCCGCCCCCAATTATCTGGATGTTTACAACAACAAGGTATGGTAGTGCTGCCTCTCTGTCCATCTCCATCTCCCTCTCCCTCTCCTCCCCAATCTCTGTTTGGGTTGTTTATTTATTTTGCTGTTATTGTTGTTGTTCCTGCCTTTGCTATATTAGCTATTTTTAAATAACGAAATCTTTTTTGGCTGCATTGCGAGCGGGTGCGAGTTCAAATCGCGCTGCGTTCGTAATACCTTCTCTTCCTTCTCTTTCTCCGGCACTCGCCCCGTCTCTTTCTCCGCTCGCGCTGATTTTGTCAACCATCAAACCCATTTGACAAAAGGCAGCTGTGCTCAAGTACGAGAACAACGTGATGAACATCCGCCAGTTCAACTGCTCGCCACATCCCTACTGGCTGCCCAACTTCATGGACGTCTTCACGTGGTCGCTGCCCTTCGTGGGCGAGAAGGTAGGTTTTCTATCGGGAATCATATGAATACATCATATGTATTTAAGGGGCATTTATGGATCTAACCCCTAATACTCGAACTAGCCTTTCAAAGGTGTCTAAAAGTATGCATCAATATGCTTAGAATCTGTATTCATTTCGAATAGCATCCTTTTCTGATTTCTAATCAATAACACATACAATTCAAAGGTCACCGAGATGCTGGTCAATATCCTGAACATTTGCTCAGACGATGAGCTGGTGGCAGGACCAGATGACGAGCTCGAGGAAGGTAAGTTTGGGGAACCACAGAGCGACTCTGTCCGTACTAGACTGTGTGTAAATGTCGTAGTGCTTTGGATGTTGTGGGCCAATACGGATACACGTGAATTACAAACTAATCTTCTATTAAAAATATTTTCCGAAACCAAATACCGAAAAACAACAACTGCAACACCCATAATAATTTATGTACCAACACCGCCAACTTTTCACTCAAAACACGTCCAAAACACGACCAAAAAGAGCTCCGCAAGAAAATTGTGCTCGTGCCGGCGAACGCGAGCAATAATAACAATAACAATAATACGCCCAGTAAGCCAGGTAAGCCGGGTATTAAACGCAGGCCCAATGTGAAGCCAAAAAGTACCGCCAATGCAAATGCCAATGCCAATGCCACTGCCACTGCTACTCCCACTGCCAAAAATGCCTGAGCCAACAAAAAACGCCTGAGCGAAGATAGAAAAGCTTAGTTGTTGCTTCGCGCCCGCTTTGATCGGCTTTTCAGCGAGTTTTCCAGCTGATTACCATTACATTTACCCCGTGACCCAGCGAGATTCCGTCTAATCGAGCCCTCAATTCGCAGCTTCCATGTCGGCGCTGCGCAAAGAGATAATACGGAATAAGATTCGGGCCATTGGCAAGATGTCGCGCGTCTTCTCCATTCTCAGGTGCATAATGCCCCCGATAATCCCCCGGATTCAGCCAAATAATTCAATATTCCCATTTCCCGCAGGGAGGAATCGGAGAGCGTGCTCCAGCTGAAGGGTCTGACGCCCACGGGCGCCCTGCCAGTGGGCGCCTTGTCAGGAGGAAGGGATTCCCTCAAGGAAGGTAAGTCAAAGCACATGCGTATTCCCAGGATCAAATTGAAATAATGGGTGTCATGAACTCTTTTATTCGCATTTTAACTCGCTGTTTTGCATTGGCATTTATAAATTGATCAGGATATAGTTCCGTATACCTTAACCGCTGCCCTCTTTATGCCGTAGGCAAACCAATTCGTTTCGTATACGTAATCACCTTCTGGAACGGGGAGAACCTTTGTGACCTGGTCATTAACGAATTGTATGGGTAGTTTATCGACAATGAGATCGTGCTGTATGGAAGATCAGAAACATTAGCAGAGATCACAGCTAGTTAATGGTATACGCACATCAAAGGGGCAGCTGTGATTCATATTGGAGAAGGGCTTCATGAAACTATAAAGATAACTGGCCGTCGGGTTTCGTTTTGTATCGTTCAAGAATCTACATGCATCCACTGTGATATTGTACATAAAGGGTCTGTAGCCGTTATATCCGTTAAATCGTTTGAAGATCCCTATATTGACCTGATAAAAATGATTATGAAATCGAACATTTTGTTAACTAAATCATCTAAATACCTTCACTTTTGTAATTGGCGTTTTAAATAATTTAACTTTAACCGCCACGTACTTGTAGCTTCGATTGATCGGTTTTATATAGCAATGCTCAAAGTCGGAGAATTCTTTATCGAAAGAATTGCACTTGATATTTGTAAAATCGAATTTCGATGATATCTGAGGAAGATCTCGATTGATTCGTATTTTACGTAAGGTTTAAAAAACTTTTACCTGTACTACGGAAAATGAAACGGCACAAAGCACCATTATACAATATTTTTGTATACCCATGTCTCGAGATCGACTAACAAGTTCATGTGGTTTACAGAACCCTTTTAATATTATTTTCAATCAACATTATAAATAAATTTTCAAAGCAATTAATAGCTCCGCCAAGCCAGAAAATCACAGTGATATTACACGATGAGTTTAATTAAGCTTTGAATATCAAAAATGGTTTAGTTCGTTTGCCATTTACACATGTCATTAACGTTTACTAGCTTGGTAATTTACAATCGATCAGGATAGGGTGCCATATACTTTCACCACAGCTCGATCGATGTCGTAGGCAATCCAGTGTGTTTCTAGTAGATAGGCGCCTTCTGGGAAGGGTAGGACCTTTGTGACTTGATGATTTACAAATCTTATATCCAGTTTCTCCACAATCAAATCGTGCTAGAATCAGGAAATTCGAATAAGTCAACTCAGAGGTTGTGGGACCTACTCACATCAAAGGGACATGGGTGATTCAAGTTGGAGTACGGCTTCAGGAACTCCAAAAAGTACGAGCCCAGGGCATTTGCCTTGGTATTATTCAGGAACCTGCAGACGTCCAGTGTCACATCAAACATAAATGGCTTATAGCCGCTGTATCGCTTGAAAAGCATTGCATGGACCTGGGAAAATTGGGAATAAAACACAATACCTTAGACGAATTTTACTATCTGTGTACCTTGACTTTCTTGATCGGTGTCTTAAATAGCTTAGCTTTGGCTGATAGATATTTATAGCTCCGATTGACTGATTTCAAATAGCAATATTCAAAGTCGGCAAAGGATTTATCCAAAGATTGGCAGTCGATGTTGGTGAACTCGAACTTGGAGGATATCTTGAAGAGTACATAGAGAGTACATAAAAAATGTGTACATTTGTATCCTTCAAAATAATAACCTTCACTGCAGAATACAGAAGAGTGAAAAGCAAAATGAAGCCGATGTGTCTAGCACACATCTTTCTAAGTTGACTAAACAACGAAAACAGATGCCATTGCTGGCTGTAAGGTAGATTTATGCTACATTTATTAACAGTCATTATAACTCGATTTGTACAAGATCACAAATTTGTACCCAATCGGCGTAGCGGCCAAAGTTTCCGTTTTAATCTAGATTTTTGCTTAAAAATAGTTTAAACTATTGCCTGTTCCGGCTCATGAACCAATGCTGATTGCAAACAAGCCTAGATTGTTTTTAATTAATAACCAAGTAACCTTACTCCAAACTTTTTGCAAGACACTGCCCAGCCGATTATTAATTGCGTTGTTTCCCATCCCTTCTCGACTCCACGAACCCTCAGCTCTGCAAGGACTGACCGCATCCTCGCACATCCACTCCTTTGCGGAGGCCAAGGGCCTGGATGCGGTCAACGAACGGATGCCGCCGCGTCGTCCTCTTTTGATGAGTGCCAGCAGCAGCAGCATCACCACGGTCACAAGGAGCAGCAGCAGCAGCAACAGCAACAGCAACAGCAACAACAGCAGCAGCAATAACAACAGCAGCAGCAGCACCACGACGACAAAGGACATCAGCAACACCAGCAGTAATGACACCGCAACCGTAACCAAAACGAGCAGGACGACTGTGAAATCGGCCACCACCAGTAATGTGCGGGCAGGATTCACCGCCAAGAAGTTCTCATAGGGGTGGACGCACCTGCCTGCTCAACACTGTTTTCTATTATTTTCGTTACGACCTGCTGTTCCCCTTTAAGTTTACACCTCGTTAGGGTAAGGTCAGACGTGGAAATAAAATAGCGTAAGCTGTTGCCAAACTTCCTTCAGCCAATTGCTTCTGAAAGCTTCTAAATATGAGATTGATAAAAATGAAAGTAGAACAATAATGTGTACCAATTTATTTCAGTGTCTGACCTTAGCTTTAGTTAAAATTTTATACAACAACTTTCTCTAATGCTAGTCATAAAACAACAAATTGCGGCCTGCGATTGCACAGCTTTCGATTGCAGGTGCATACTTATAGAATCTCTCCGCAAAAACTCCCGGGCAATATTAGCAAAAATTTATACGTGACATGAAAAACTGTTTAATAAAAGGTGGCTACAAATAGCTAAACAAACTATTGTTTGCCATTGTTCTTCTCCATTTGGTTTTTGGGAACAAATTTGGCTATATTGCTGATGAAATGACTTACAGCTTGGAAATAATACCAATGTGGACTTTAACAAATAAGTATGGTTTATATGCAAAATACTTACAATTTAGGAAATCTAGACGGCCCTGTAGCAAGCTTTGTACTTCAGGTACACTTCAACTTCACATCGCTGAAGCTTCTCCAGTCAAGCGTAAAAAATCAGCACGACCCGATGTAATAATAATTAACCAAGTGCAAACACAGGGAAATGAACAGGTCCAAACAGCGCGTCACTTGCTGTGGAAGTTTCCCCATTTCCCATTTTTTATTTCGATTTATCTGTTTGGCCATAAAGATAGCCCGGCGGAGCAGATTAAGATTTACAACGCTCTGTATGTCGACAATCTATCATCACCATCCCCAATGCCTTCCTATTACCACGTTTATGCGTGCTCACGATATCTTGAGAGTGCGAGATCTTATTAATCCCTGTTTATACGATACTTGGGAGAAATTTTAAACTTTTTTTTTGCTTTCTTCTGCCTGGCACGTACTTTCCAACAAATTTATAATACCCTTTTACTTTACGAGTAAGTGGTATTAGAGTGCACTAAGCACACTCAGTCATTTGCAGTCGTCAACAGTATTAAAGCATTCTATTTTCTAAGGCCGCCAAGCAAAATTCAATCAATTAAAGTGTCTAATTAGTATTTCTCATGCGGTTGGCGTTGCTACCTAAGTTTGTCTGAATTTATGGTCAATTTCACATTTTAGAGAATCCGTGAAGTGTACCGCATAAACACAGTATATGCATGTATCTTAGTAGCCCACTATGGCAGCAACTGCCAAGATGAGTATTGACTTTGATCTCACCCCTGTCTTTTGTAAGCACTAGTAAATATCGCATGAAATAATCACGTGTATTAGGAGGTTATATATACAAACTTCTTAAAGAACAATAAAAAAAAAAAAACAAATGCTTCTGAAGAAGACAATGAAAAATTGTAGTACATGAACATGAACTGTGATATATGTGAAGTACGATTTAAGAATGCCCGATATGGTACCTATAAATTTTTATGTTTTAATAGAGCCAGTTATTTTTGTCTGGAAAGTGGAATGCCTCACTAGACTCAAACGTGAATATCACAGGCATAGAAACTAGAACGTAACACCATGACAATAGACCGCACTGCAAGCCGCTCTCCATTGTATTCCCCAGATCCAGTATTATGTATAATAACCTAGCCTATAAAAAGAACCGAATAAGTGGCATTGAGGGCTCCCTTTGGATCGCGAGATAAACTCTTTTCAGCGCTCGCTGAATGGCAGCCAAAAGTCAGACAAGTGCAAACAGCAAATAACGCGCATACGCAATGTGTGCCGCCGAGGGTACCCCTTGATTATCTTTATCTGCTACGAAGAAGACAAACAGCGGTCTCTGCAGACTTCGGCCGAGATAGAGATAAAGATAATACCGACTAGCAGCCGCTTCACGTGCAAGTTCCTCCGTAAATCAGCCCATCGACACGGGATCCGGCGGAGAATTCCGTGTCAGATTCCCGCACAAATAAGTGATCGCTCGAAATGGGCTTATGGTGCACGGGCCCTTAGTTCGTGAAGGCTTTGCACGTTTTTATGGATTAATCTCAGCGGAGCCGTAATTTTAATTGAGACAAACGTGTTGCAATTGCAAGCAGCTCAATGGCTTCGTTTCGGGCTTTGGACTGTGGGATATCCTATAGTGGGCTGTGATTCCAATCGGAAGGTAATTGTTAAATGCATTGCAATGGGTATTGCAATTTACACATAGTAACCATTTCATGGATGCATTACCAACAAATGCATTAACATTTTAGATGTGTTTCCGTTTTTTAAGTACAGAACGTGTCTAAAACCGGATAAGCTGGATATGCCCCACAAGTACCTGTAATTCCCGAGCGGCCAACGATCGTTCGTGCGGGGACTTCGGGTCGGCCGATCGTCTGGGTGGACAGTAAGTTCGCATATAACGGCGCTTGCTGGCTGGCTTCGGTGCTAGTCGCAAGCGGAGAGCCACTCGGCACAGAATTTCAGTCGTCCCCGAGTCGTCGAATCGTTCCGTTCCGTTCCAATCCGATTCGTTCCGCACTTCGAAACAAATTCGATGGCCACTGAAAGAATCTGCGCCTCAAGCTGAGCTGTGATACGAATCCGCATCTGAATAGAAGTCGCAGCGGCACCTCAAATAGCCGCCCCAATTGATCGCGTGTTGTGCGTTTTGGAGAGATGCATTCCGAGGTACTAGTCGGATTCCTGTGGGCTGGCCTGCTGGCGTTCAGCTGGGCAGGAGTCACCACCCAGCCGCCGCCACTGATTCGCACCCTGAGTGCCGGAGGAGACATAGGACCCCAGTTTGATGTGGGCAAGCACAAGGAACCCGAAGGTGAGACACAGACATAGATCCCAACTGCAGCGCAGTTAGAAACGTGTGAAATCCGAGCTGAAGCGCTACGTTTAGAACGTGGAATAATTGAAATAGTTGTCCAGTTCAATTATGCAACGAGTGCTCCACTTGGGTCTATCAAGGTTGCAAATCCTAGGCACTAAATAATCACTTACACTTTCTTGCCAAACTGAGAGCTCACTACTGGAAAATTAACCACAAAGTCAAGTACTCTACGTGATCCAATGCAACAAAAAAGCATTACGAATGGTGACCTATGGTGACGCTTGAATGTAACTGCTCAAATTGCCGACAAGAGTACAACAAATTAAAATGTTCTAGTCACCTAATTGTTTAGTTTTGTTACGATTGCAGTTAACAATCTTAATCGGCTTTCAAAAAACCATCCAAATAAATCAGTTGAGCAGCAGTCAAAAACTGATTAATCATATACTTTTGATTTCCTTGACAAGCCCAAATTAACAGTCGGCGAACGAAGCTTAACTGTAACCTGTCTCAGTGTCGAGGTCGTCGGGCGGTAGGCGGTGGGTGGTTGTTGGCAGTGGGTGGAATACTCTGCCCCCCTGCCAAAGCTACCCCAACTGAATATTAATTACTATCATCATCACCGCAAGTAAAGCAGTGAATGGACGACGTTCCATGTCGCGAAATGCAAATGTTATACAGCCAAAAAGTACATTTTAATCTCTGTAGCTCCATATTGAGGTGGGATGTATTTATAGTCGCTACTCGTAGAATAATTTGGTTTATAAATTAAAGTTTTTAATTTCAAAATATTGGGATATTCAATAGAATGTTGCTACCTAATAAACGACCATTTAATTTTCCATAACGTATAACAATTTTATTACCGAAAGTCCAAGGAATACTGTAGCTGCTACTAAAACAAATGACCGTGTCGTATAAATTAAGATTGGCGTATAAAATACAGATTAGAAGCCGAGAAATGGAAATTCATCTGCATACATTGACAAATTTGAAAGTAAATAATGATAGTAATAATTATGGAGCCCATAAATAAAGAGAAGTCGTTTTCCACTCGAAGGGGATCTACCTGCCCCCAAGTTGTGCTCAGGCATTTTCTGCGACGTACATTACGAAAATAAGCCACATTAACTAGTCGAGTACTTATTCCGGAACATGTTCAAGTGCCAACTGGATCTCACTGGAGATGGGCAATTCATACGTGACATGACATCTGACTTACCCAACGATTTCCGATCCGATTTAGTTTTAATTAGTTCTGTTCTCTAAATCCCATTTCAGATGCGGAATTCTGGCACAAAGTGGGCCTGCGGCAGCTGGAGAAGACCATTAAGCAGGCCCAGCGGGTGAAGGAGCACTCCTACCAGAAGAAGGCCCGGAACATCATCATCTTCATCGGGGACGGCATGGGAGTATCCACGATCAGTGCTGGGCGCATCTACAAGGGACAGTACCTGAAGCACGGCCACGGCGAGGAGGAACATCTCGTCTTCGACGATTTCCCAAACACTGGAATGGCCAAGGTAAGTTGATATAGGGGGTCTGAGGTCTAATTTAATTTATAACTAAAATTAATGTTAATGTAATCTGTTACAGACTTACAATGTGGACAAACAGGTTCCGGACTCGGCGGGCACTGCCACTGCGATCTTCTCGGGATCGAAAACCCACTACGGAGCCATTGGAATGGATGCCACCCGCTCCAAGAAGAACGGCCAGCAGGGCAGGGTCCAAAGCGTCATGGAGTGGGCCCAGAAGGAGGGCAAGCGTACTGGAGTGGTCACCACAACCAGGATCACCCATGCCACGCCTGCCGCCACGTACGCCCACATCTACGACCGGGATTGGGAGTGCGACACGGAAGTGCCCGCGGAATCGGTGGGCATTCATGTTGATATTGCCCGTCAGTTGGTGGAAAATGCTCCTGGAAATCGATTCAATGTAATCCTGGGCGGAGGAATGTCCCCCATGGGCATCCTGAATGCCTCCGAGGTGAAGACTACGATTTTTGAAGGACCCACGGAAACAATTTGCAGCCGAGGTGATAAACGGAATCTTCCGGCCGAGTGGTTGGCTCATCACGCCAACGATACAGTTCCTCCAGCATTGGTACACAACCGGAACGATCTGCTCAATGTGAATGTTAAGGAGGTGGACCACTTGATGGGGCTGTTCCGAAACAATCACATCACTTACTCCATAGCCAGAGAGGAAGGAGAGCCTTCCCTGCAGGAGATGACGGAGACGGCCTTGGGAATCCTAGAAAGAGGCGACGAGTCAAAGGGTTATGTGCTCCTAGTAGAAGGCGGTCGCATTGACCAGGGTCACCACATGAACTATGCCCGTGCTGCCCTTCATGAGCTGTACGAATTCGATTTGGCAATCCAAGCGGCCGTGAACAACACAGATCCCGAAGAAACGTTGATCCTGGTGACCGCCGACCATTCCCACGCGGTTACCTTCAATGGTTACGCCCTCCGAGGAGCTGATATCCTGGGAACAGCCAATTCGCACGAGAAAAACGATCCCATGTTCTACGAGACCATCTCGTATGCCAATGGTAAGCCAGACCTTAGCAATATCATAACGGAGCTTATCTAGTAAAACGAACTTTGAATGTTTCCAGGTCCTGGATATTGGGATCACTTGGCGAATGACTCCAGACCTCAGAACAGTTCCAACATGTGGATGCCCTTGAAGCATTTTACGGAAGAGGAGAGGACTGCACCCACCTATCGCCACTTGGCAACGGTGCCGAGAAAGGATGAAACCCACGGCGGCGAGGATGTGGCTGTTTTTGCATATGGCCCTGGATCCAGTTTGGTTCGCGGGGTCTTCGAGCAGAACTATTTGGCCTATGTGATGAGCTACGCGGGCTGCTTGGGTCCCGCCAAGGACTTCGACGACTCTTGCGAGGATCATAAGGATGAGCAAAGGGAGAGGCCGCTGAACAAACCGAATCCCAAGAGAAGTGGTGCCTCTGATTTGGGAACCTCCTTGATCCCCATCGTGACTGCAGCCACTGCGGGTATTTTATGCGGTCACAGGCTGTAATGTTGTTTTATATTAATTGTTATTAATGATTATATTCGTACGGATGCCTTCGTTAAATAAGAGTGAGCGAGATGGAGACGTGATCGTTGCAATTTAACAGATACACTAAAAAAGTATGCAATGGATTTTATTGTTGTCATGGTAAACTTCCATAGAAAATCCCGGCCATAAAAACATCCATGGATTGATCCATTTAAATTAGTTTACTATCGCTCACAATGACACTTCGCGGTTAGGTTCTGAGTGCATCCCCATCGATCGCTCATTCGTTTATACAAAACCCATAAGGGGCCTCAAAAAAAAGTTCAACAAATCAGGATAAAAGGATCAGCCAGGATCCTAGGCCGCCTTGGCAACTTTCAGCGTCTCTGGTTCCGCATCCAGCTTCTGGACGCGATGCAGATCGATGCACTGTCGGAACTGGGCCACCTCCTCCATGCATTTCAAGGTCTCTCCGGGATGCGCGCGGTAGCAGGCGAGCAGCTGGGATTTCAGGTCCTGGCAGGGAGGCACTTTGTGCGACGACGCGGTGCTGACGAATCGCTTGTGCACATTGTCTACAGCATTGGCATACTCCTTCTCCAGGATGGTGTTGGTCTTCTTGAGGTTCTCCTCCAACTTGGCCATGCGCTCCTTCCACAGCTCGTCGTTCTTAATCAGCTCCTGGTTCATCTGGCGCTGCACATCAGCCGCGCTGATGGTGTGTCCTCCTCCCTGGACGTAAATGGGCACTGCAGCGGGATAGGAGGATACTTTCGGAGCAGGAGCAGCTGGCGAGGATGCGGCTGGCTTGGCAGCAGCCTTTGCCGTTGGCTTGGGCGCCGGCTTCGAGTCCTCCGCAGCGGCTGCGTGCTCACGAGCTAGGGAGGACAGATATAAATCAATATTTGTTTTCAGACATACCGGATTCTTTTTAATAGGTATGGAAACTTGGTAACAGATCCAAACATCTGCCACACCCTTTTAGTTAGTGTTTTTGTGAAGCAGAGGAGGGTATTGGTTCCTGTTCTAGCTACCGAGTTTCCACTGTGTTTGGCGTAAACATTTGCCCGTTTTGACAATTGTTGCATAACACCGGGCAGTGTGAACTGAGGATTTCCGGGTGCTATTCCACAATGCCATTGGACTCCTTACCCTGCTGGGATATTCCCGCCTTCAATCGCTTGACCACATCGTCGGATATATCAATAACGCCGGCAGGAGTTGGGTTTTCCATCGAAACGGATCGGGCCTCGCGGGATTGAGACTGTCGGGCTCCCATCTTCGAAGTTCCTCTTGCTGTTGCTCGTGGCGCAAAACCTGGAATATCGGCGATTGGTTAATGGGTATCAAGTCATCGCAAGCTGAGGCCACACTCCGCTCTGCTTATTTCGGCGCTGTTATTACCCTTTTCGGTGAAAAACTACAGGGTAAATCCAACAAAAATAAGACGTGCTGAGAGTGACCTTAAAGCGCAAGCACGAAAATGCGTAAAACAGCTGACCTGACCGGCAGAGTGGCTAGACTGCTCTAACAGGGCTGGCGGCTGTTTTTTCGTCAGTGGCGCTGCCAGATTATCGAATATTCAAATCCTTCACTGAAAAAAACTTCAGATTGAGATTAACTTTGTTTCCTGTTCATTATGGTCCACAATTGCCATCCGTTCATCGAATTTCCCCCACTTCATCTTGAGAACAACAAAAAGCAAGTCGGGTGAATCGTGTTATTATTGTTTAAGCTTTTTAATGCCTCGTTCGTAATTGTTATTGTGAATGGTGTGGCTTATTTAGTGGCTGCTTTTATTCTGTTCACACATACATATTCCATGTTCGGTTTAATTCGAAATACTTGCTAATTACATAAATGTGGCCGTGCACTTATCGATACATCCGTCGAATTCCGATCCAACGTACTTCTTAAATGTTTCATGAACCGTTTCGATTTCGTTTGTTATTTTGGTTTGGTTATTTTGTATTCCATATCACTGTGGTGGTTTATTTTTTATTTTTAATGATTTTCTCTCATATCGCCCGTGCCATGGTACACTCGAACTCGATCCAAGTATAATTAGTTATTAGTTCAAAATTCTATTCTCAATATACATATACATTTAATTATACAAAACTTTCGAAATTGCTATGTTCTTCAATTTGTTAGTTTCTCTATTTCGCTTATGCTCAATGGACTGCTCACACAAGATCGTTTAGTTCTCCATTACCATTTCTATGGCTCATGCTCATAATCGCTATGAATCAGTTTGTCGGGCTTCGATTTCGTTACTATCAATAAAATGCTAATGGTTTAGTACTCTTGTATGCTAGGAGGAAAATCACACATATATTTAATTTTATACTTGTAGGGTTGTTTTGGTTTTGGGTATTATTCTTATGTACACTCACTAGGTTGTTAATTCTGATTTGGGAGGAGGCTTGGGACTTTTCCGCGGCTCATCCCCAATTTCTGACTGCGCTAAATGGTCGTGTTTACAAGGTTGGTCGTTTTGCAAGGCGTGCGCTTCGAATGGAGTTTGTGTTCCAAAAATGAAAGCAAAATAACCGAACTGAACCGAACCGAACAGACTGAGAAACTGAGTTGAGAAAACATAAAACAATTTGTAAGAAATATCACGTAATGTACTTTTATTTAAGTTTTTAGTGGCTCCCGCGTTTAGTGATCCGATCTCGTGTTTTGTATTTCTTTGATTTGTTAGTTCTTAGACTGCCAGCCAATCGCTGTGGGGTTTTACATGTTTACGTGTTCTCATAAGATATAGTTTGTATTAATATATATATATTCATATTTTTACCCATTATCTCTTGGCGCATTTAGAATTTAAGTTTTTTTTTTGCATTTTTCTTTTTTATTTTATGGTTTGGTATTACTTATAAACAAATTTCATATTATAGCTACAATTTATTAGCTAGCGTTGTGTAACTTTACCTCTGAAGGGGCATTACTTCTTTTGTTAAGTCGAAATGTTAATGCAATTGTTTTGTGTATGTCTAACGCAATTTATATGCTCTCTATCTTAGTTACATGATTTTGTTGCGTAAACAAAAGGGCTGCCCCAACTCCCAACTCCTAACTCTCACATCCCATTTCCCTACCGCTTGAGAAATGCGCGCACTAGTGTTTAAAAATCGGAAAGATATATATGAACACAGGCAGCGAAAGTATATATATATAGGTGAATAATGCGGGGACAGTAGGCGGTACAGAAAGATACATAAGATAACATAGGAGGGGCCTTATAAGTCAGAGCGTTGCTTAAAGCTAGAGAACGTCCCCTCTACTGCACTTGATCATCGCAATCATTATCATCGTCTAATTGCGCCCCGAAATCGTCAACTTAGGTTACAATGTGGGTGCTTTGCTGTATAGCATATGCTTGTGTATGGATTGGATTCGCTATCGCTAGAGCCTATAGTCTAGGGTTAGGGACACTCGCTGAACGCGGTGTCCTTTGTTTCTTTTACACAAATATTACACTTACAATCGAGTTATGTGTTTCATGATCGCTTCTGAATGTTCTGCTTGATTTGGTCTGGGACTTCAAATTAACAAAGAAAAAACTGAGCCGGCCAAGAGCAATAGTCAAATGCAAAACAGAATTAAATGCCTGCGTGTCCTGACCCTCCTCCCAAACGCGCGGACCCTTAATTAACCACCGATCTATAGGCCGATCTTCAGGGATCGGGGATCTCAAATCAATTGAACAGTGCGGTTTGTTGCAGTTTCTTGCAGCCAGGTTGCAATCGTTTATGTTCTAATAGTATAAATTAAATTAATCATAGGCTAGTTAATTAATAATAAGCGCGCCCAACGTTCTAACATCTGGGAGCAGAAACCAAAATGTCAAAAAACAAACGAAAATTTACACAAAAAAAGAAGGAAAGCGCTGCGCTTTGCTTGCTATGCTCTGCTCCTCTTCTCTCACTGCTCTTGTCCTCCGTTTCTGGCAGGGACCTGGTCATCCTGCCGTTTGGATACATTCAACGTATTTTACCGCATATATAAAGCAAGTATTATATATATTAGGTATATATAACTATATATTCTACATGTATAGTTCTGCTGAGTTCTGCTGTTGTTTGTCTACTGTGTCGTGTCCAGCGTCGCAACCTAAACGATAAAATATTATTTGGCGTTCCCCACGCCACCGCCCCCTCCGCCGCTCTGCATACCGCCCACACCCACTCCACCGCCGCCTGCTCCGCCTCCCTGGCGCATCCGTATCGAGGGCCGACGCTCCGGCGTGTCGTAGGGCGGTCTCGACGAGTTGGTGGCCGCCATCGAGTCGTCCATGTTGAGTCCGTTGCCGCCGATCAGTTGGCTGCCGTTTCCGCCTCCATTGCCGCCCAGCATCGCCAGCGTTTGGCCGCCCTGGAGTTGCTGTTGCGCTGCACTGCCCCCTCCGCCGCCAAGCGCCGCATTGACCTTGTGCTGCTGCTGTTGATGCGAGGAGGCGGCTGCCGCTGCTGCCACTGCCGCTGCTGCGGCCACGGCATCATGTCCCGCCTGACCGTCCGCGCCGTCCTGCGCCTGCTGAATGGCCTGAGGATTCCGTGGTCCGCCAAACTTAAGCAGGTTCCAGTCAAACACATAGTCATAAGTGAAGCCCAATCGGTGGAACAGGTTCCGGAAGAGCTTGCGCAGGTGGCAGTAATCTGGACGCTGGTCGAAATGCATCTGGCGACAGAAGTTCAGATAGTTGACGAACTCGCTGGGGAAGCCCTTGCACAGCACCACAATCGAAGTGGACAGCTTCTTCTCGGAGATCCTCTCGTACTTTTGCCTCTTGTTGGCTGCCTTTAGGCCCTGCCAGGGCAAGGCTCCCAGATTGAAGTACATGAGGACATAGCCAAGAGATTCCAGGTCGTCGCGACGCGATTGCTCAATGCCCAAATGTGTGTTGATGGAGGCATAGCGGGCAGTGCCCGTGAGGTTCTTGTTTTCCCGATAGGGAATGTGCTTCAGCGACCGGGCATCCCGGAACTTCTTGGCCAGCCCAAAGTCAATGATGTACACCAGGTTGCCCTTCTTGCCAAGACCCATGAGGAAGTTATCCGGCTTAATGTCGCGATGGATGAAGTCCCGCGAGTGTATGTAATCGATGCGGGAGATCATCTGGTCCGCCAGCAGCAGAACCGTCTTCAACGAAAAGCGGCGCGAACAAAAGTTGAAGAGGTCCTCCAGCGAGGGTCCGAGTAGCTCCATCACCATCACATTGTAGTCGCCCTCGCTGCCGCACCAGATTATGCGGGGTATACCTATGCCGCCCTGCATCGTCTTGTAGAACTTCGACTCGATGTGCAGCTGGGGGTGCTTGGTGCGGATGCACTCCAGCTTGATGGCCACCTCCTCGCCAGTGTTGATCGTGGTTCCCAGGTAGATGTCGCCGAACGATCCCGATCCTATCTTACGGCCCAGGCGGTATTTGTTACCCACGCGCAGCTCCATTTTTGGACGACTGTATTTGTGGGTTTCTGTGTGGTAGAACGGAGTTTCCTCGGATCTGCGTTGCCTTTCTGCGGGAGTTAAGAATTTCAACTTTAGTTTTTATTTTCAAATAGCTGTGGGTTGTTCTTACTCATAATAATAGTCATACTTTAAAGATCTACAACACACAGTACCAAACTAACTTTGTCATCACGATAAGATATACAAAGGTTGCTACGATGCATTCTAATCGTTCTATCGGAATGTAAATATACTTAGTCACCATTTTTTTGACTACTTATAAAAATAGCAGATTTTTTCAAGTAAATATGAATCAAGTGACTCGAAAATTCAACTATTGGCCACCAGCAACACCAATGTGTGATATTAATAGATATAGATCGTGATTGTGATATAGATCGATAGAGAAGTAGGCAATAACAAAATATCTAATGCCTTGTTAGCGATACTCGAAAATTGCTACTGACTTGATTTGCTAGCTCTTTTTCTTTTACAAATGAATATTAAAGTACTTTTGATTCCTCTGGCACTAGATTGTGACACGTGATGGCCGTAAACACGGCTGTTTTGTACAGTTGGCTAACAGTCTAGTTTTGACAGGTAACAGCTAACGGGGCTCTTCGCGGGTCTTTCCCAGCATTTCTCCACTTTTCACCTTTTCTCACCTGGCGCTGTCCTTTCGTCTGAGCTCCTCTCTTCTTCTTGTTCCGATTTGTTTCAAGGCAGTCGCTTATGGCTTTGTTTGTGATGGGTGCTGAAATGAGGGATACGACGTCAGTTTTCTGGGATCCCCAACTTGGTTAAGCGCCATGAAATGTGAATTCCCTCCTTTTCTCGACCTCTTCTGTGATGGTCTACGTGATCAGAGTTATATATACTCAGTTCTTACCGAATGTGCAGCGTAAGCCCAAAAACTTGCATAATTCACATTTGATTGTGGTGATAAGGACAGCGGGACATAGACATGAAAACAACGCACGGTAACAATCGATATCGAAAATAGAAAACAGTTAGCTAAGAATAAAACGAGAGAGCAAGCGAGAGAGGGAGAGAAGTAAGCTTGGCTTACGTTGACAACACAAAAGTAGCAGAGAAAAGCATATGAAAAGCAATTCGAAATGCAAATGCACAGTGGGCAGAAATGATAAGAACCCGAACCTCGCACAAAGTAAAAGTTTATTTCGTTTATTTATATTTAGGAGTGAGCGCGTCCTGGCATTGGCTGGCGTTTATTGATTACGAATGGGAAAAACAAAAGATTCGATAAGTGATGAGTAACGATAATTTAAGTGCACAGAGAGAAAGAGTCCTCCTTTTTTAACATTCATCACGTGAATATTTATTGTTACAGACAATTAGATTATTACATTGTACTATTCTTATTTAAGTATTTAAAAAGGAAATGTTACAGAATGATTTTCAATGTATGTTGAAATATAAGATTCTTTTGTTTTCGAGTGTATTTCAACGTGACGACACTAGCAACATGGAGAGGTGAATCAGCAATCAGAAAGACAACGAAGAGATTAACAACAAACATATAAAAGAGACGTGTGGTTGTGTGTGCGTGGAGTAAACAATCGCCGACAAAAGGGAGTGAAGTAAAATAAAACGCAGCGACTGTGAAAATGCCACTTAAATGACACTTTCAGTGGTGGATAGCACAAACAAATAGCGAAGATAAAGCGCATGGAAGTGAGAAAAAGAAGCAACAAGCCGAAAGTTTTCACTTGCCGGCCAAAAATCACAAATATTTTGTTTAATTGTTGTTTTCGGCGGCTCTCACTCATACCCCTCTCCATCTTTTCGACATTCTGTCGCTTTCTTTTACCGCTCACGCATTTCGATCGCTCTCTCTCTCTCTCCTCCTTTTCCCCGCTCTTTATCACTCACTCCGCGATTCTAACCTCAAAACCTGACTGCTTTGTTGTTGTTTTCGCGTTGGCTTTGATTTATTTAACCGAAATGTACCGTTTTTATTGGGGCCTCTATGTTCTACACAGAAAGAAATCACTGTATAACAGTCAAATGGATATGTAGTATTAAATTGAAGATCTTTAATTTGTGTGCTGTGTTGTGTTGTATTTACTTCATGTCTTTACTATTCGTAACTGAATATTTTCCAGGGTATCCAGTAGTTCTCTCGGCTGAGTAGGTAAACACGAATTGATTACAATTGCAAAACAGCTGCACGTTGCGTTGGCGGCTGCCGAAGAGCTTCCGCAAAAAAAAACGCAGAGGAGAACAAAGAAGATACAAAAAAACATTTGTTCCAGCAGGCGCCACAAAAATTAAAAAAATCTAAGTAAACAGGGAGGAGCAAATGGAAAAGAAAACATTTGGAAAATCAACGGGGAAACCTCAAAAAAGGAAGAAAACTTGACAGTATGCTTGCATTTAATTGTCAAACGTTAATGGCCTCCGAAAACTAACGGTACTCCATGACTGCACTGCGAATAACGGGGCTGATAAGGAGCAGCCGATAAAAGCGGGTGGGAAAGGGAAACTTGAACGTACAGTGGAATGAATTTCACACTTACCTTGGCTAGTTTTCCTTATTTTCCTTATTTCTTATACCGCTTTGCCCACTTCCTCTGCTGGCGTCGCTGCTTTTCCTTCTTCTAATTCGACTGAAATCGAAATCGAATTTTTTAATTGGATTGATTCTGCCACAATAATTTTCATTTTCTTTGTTTTAGAGCCCAGACGTTGTTTTTGTTGTAGTTGCCACAATCGCACACAAACACACGCACACAGTCGCACTTTTTGGGGCCACACGCAAGCGCATTTTATGCAATAATTTTAATAATAATGCATTGCTGACATATTTTAGTTATTTTTATCGTTCATTTCCGAAACGGTTATGTTGTTCATCTCGGCTTTTATGGGCGCATTGATTAATATCGGGCTGCAAATCAACTCGAGAAAATTAAACAAAATCAAACGGAACTCGGAATCTTATTAAAAAAAAACCAAACTTATGCGAGTCGTTTGCCCTGGCAATAGATTCGTGCACACTAGTCGTCTCGCCCGCACTCACGCGGTTTCTACCGCGAGCACGTTGCTATCCCTCCTGCTTTAGCATTTTCACACCAACACAAAGACGAGGGCACTCACTCACACACTCGCACTCTCAATGAGACACTGAAATGCTGCTGGGAAATTCGAGTTTTCCTGCGCGTGGTAACCGCCGCTTTTCCGCTTGCAAACGGGTCTTTCGATCCGAAACGCTACTGACCACTTACGTTTTGCATGAACGCTGCGCTTTCGTTTCAATTTTCCTGGCTATTTCACATAGATTTCGACGATTTTTTACAAATTTACGCCATCTTGATATTAGCAGTGTGACCGCGCCGATAACGAAGAAAATTACCATCTGGTATTTATTCCTCCGCGGCCATTGCAGTGCCACGAAATACCAAATATGCTTTGAAATTATAATGTCGACGAAAGTGGTACGCTTACACGCCACATAGCTTTAAAGTGAAATATTATAGCAATATAGGTGTTATATAATGCAACCAGATTATTTTGAGTTCATCGATGACACAAGCCAGTATCATATGAAAAATTGTGATCCGTTCACCAAGTTATTATGTCCAAAGCTTGGGATATATGTGTGAACATGTATTAAGGAAATGCATGTGTCAGAATATCAAATTACACAGATATAGGAATGACGAGAAATGGCTAAATTGTCAACGCTGATTTCGTAGTTTGGGCACACTGCACTCGCATAGTGAGAGCAGGTAGCACTGTGCCTTTTATAATAACCTGGCCAGTGTTGCCAGATAGGCGCAAGCTATTTTGGAAGCGCGCCACCTAGCGGTCGTACATGCGAATGTGACATATAGGTGGCGCTTCAAGCAAAAGTTGGCGCAATATTTCAAAAATTTAATTTAAAATATTTTAAGTTTTTTAATTTTACATTCCAAGGAAAAACCTTTCTGTCTAGTTTTATTTTTAAGGAGATTACATAAACTAAAATTATCAAAAATATATATAGTCTTTAAGGATATGAATACTAGCTTACAAATTTCTTGAATCATATAATATTTATATAGAAGTGCGGTTTTAAAGTGTTTTTAAGAAAAGTTGTTAACCCTTTTTAAAGGCTTCTGTTCCATATCCACATGGCAATAGAAATGCAAATGGATTTTCATTGGCATGTTTTGCAGTTATAGGTAGCATGCCAATTTTGATGTTACACCGAGGCATCGAAATACCTGAAACGAATACTTTTATTGCTGCAATACTAATAAAGCAAAACACGTGTGAATTCCATTACTCCGCCCACCCGCTTTCCCCATTTCCCCCATTTTCACCATTTTCCCCATTTCGTGCATTTTCCGGCTGTGTAACCCAAGAAACGGTGACATAAAAAAGGAAGCAGAGCCAGTTATGTATGCATATATGAAAAAATGTGGGTTTTTTGGGAGTATGTGCCAAGGTGTGTTTCATTTTCAAGTGGGGGTAGGGTAGATAAGCAATCACTCGAAATTGATAACAAAAAAGGGGGGAAAAGAGTGTAACGATTGGTATTGGAACTGGCAATTTAAAACGAAATGTAGACAAATAAATCACCCTAATCGCAATTACCAACGATTTTCTGTATCCCATTGCCGTACAAAAGCTTAATTGCATCTGCAGAAATCTCCATTTTCTATTTATTGGTGGATCGTTCAAGATCTGGCGTGAAAACCCGCCTTTGTCTGCCATTGGCTGGGAAAAAGAGAAAACAAAGCAATCCAACGAGGCAATTGAAGATACAACAATAAAGCAAGAAAAACAACTCGCCTAACCGCTCTCACACACTAATTCAAGCCGTATCTCTCCTACTCACACATCCAAAGACCTGCGATCGCCGACGAATGAAAATCGTCGTTACTTCGACCGATGGTCAACCACCAACAAACAAATAACGAAAAAAGTAAACCCAGTATGTAGGTGCGAAGCAGTAAAAACCGCGGAGACGCGTGTATGTAAATGATCTCAGTCAAACAATATATGAGAAACACTGTGAGAAATAACACTATGCTGTGGGGACGCCAATTCATTTTTAAATTCTGTTCTATGCTATTAATTGTATTGATTTTTTGAATTCCTATTCTGTATAAAAATATATAAACTTCTCTAGTACTAATTTTGAATGATATGTCATAAACTTGAAATATTCGGATTACGCACTCAATTTGCCCAGTGCCCTTTTGTACTTTTGCATATTTCCTGACTGCCCGCCGTCGCTTTTTTGCCTTCAAAATATTTCCGCAACACATGTCGCATATCTGGGGGCATGCAGCTCCTCGCGGCTCCACTGCCCCGCCCCCTTATCCTCGACGCCCCTCGGCTGCGCCTTCTAACGCAGCAGTGGAAAAAGCGCCATTTGGTTTCGTTTAGCAGCCGGCTTGAAGATTTTCGTATTTCCTTTTTTGCTCGTCGGCGGCTTAGATCAAATGATGCGATTTCATGGCAAGTCGCAAATTGTCAAGCGGTCGTCGCATCCGCCGCCACGCCCCCCGCCCTCCGCCCTCCGCCCACGAGTGCATGCATTCAGATGCATTTCGACCTTTCTGCTCCAGTTTGATTATGAAACATAAGAAGTGGGGGAAAAAAATTAATTTGCCCGCGTTGATTTTTTTCCTATACAGCGCAAATATTTTTAATTAATTCATAATATTTTTTGTAGCTTTTTTTCCAACGAGTTGTTTATCAACAAGCTGGCGCGCTTTGAAGTTTGCCGGCCCAGAAAAAAAAGCTTGAACGCGAACTGGGGAAATTGTTAGATGGTCGGCCATTAAATTTCCTAGACGCGAATCAATTTTCCAGTCGCTGCAGTTCAGCGAACTGCCTTCGAAGTTTTGAGCGTTTGTGCACGAGTATTTGATTCTTTTTATGGAGTATCGTATAATTTTCATTTTGATGCCTTTTATGACACTTCCAAAAAAGAGTAAAAAACGGGCGCTGCTTTGACGTCAGTTTTCAGGTTCGATTTCATCTCCCCACTTGGCATAAAACATCCGAAATGGCCTAGGTATTTATGATTCCGTTTATGCATTTCTCCGTTTTATTGTTTAATTTTGATACTTCGATTTGTCTGCCGGGCCGGCGGCGTTTGAAAAAAAAGTTAATTGAGCTGTAAAAATTATAAAGATGTAAAAACCCCAAAAAATTATTTGGCGGCCGAGATACTTGGGTCCTACCATAACTTCCAGTTGAAACCAGCTGGAAAACAAAAGCGTAGCCAAGCTACACTTCTTCGACTTTTACGATCGCGGAATGAATAGCTCTCCGTTGCCCGATTATCTCATTTCTCTTTTTCGAGGGTGTTTTCTGATTTCTTCGCATTTTACGATTTGGGATCGATCGGATCGTGTCGAGCATAAAGTGTAATCTAGTGCAAAGTGGTTATGAAAAGATCTGACCAGATCACCTGATCTGGGCTTCTATGTGGACTTACGAGCATCCAGCGTTTGATCGATGAAGGGGTACAGCATTTACATTTTACCAGGTGAGTCGGAGATGAACTAGCTCTCTTGTATCGAAAAGAATTTCGAACCCAAAGTGCCAAAGATGTGGGTCATAGGCATCTAGTTTTTGAGGACGTGGAAATTAATCACTTCATTTGTTATTATTATAATTATTACAAGGCTTTGATATCATGCGCATTCCCAACTGTTCTATCATGATGTATTAATTGTTGCTGGTAAATAGTCCTCCTACGTACCTCCAGTTCTGTCCACCCTGAGCACCCATCCATCATTTCCCACCCCCACTCCCTCGCATTATCTCCATTCACCTCAGTTAACCCCTAAATCCCTAATGATCTTATCGACTCCTCATTACCAATCGTTACTCCTAGGCGTGTGTACCCATTCAGGACCGAGGCACTCCAAATACAGCTGCAACAAGTGGCAGGTTTCTAACGATCCCGAGATCCACCCCTTAGCCCGAAGTCTTCGAGGTGTCATAAATCCACATGTGGCTGTAAAGTGTTACTAATTTCTGTTTCTGTTTCCATTTCGATTTATGTCTGCCTGCTGTGCCCAGCTCTTTGCCATCTCTATCAGATATCCTGCAGTGTTATATGTGGGTATGTTCTATTCGAACAAAACTCCATGGGAAAATGGCATACCTTATCAGGTCTGGCATATATTTAGTTCTGACTGTTATAACTTGTAGCTAAACTGAACTTATCCGAGAGATACAATGTTCTGTCTTTCTAAATTATTTCGTATTGCCTATACATTTGAAGTACTGGGTGCCTAAAAGTCGAACCTCTCCGCTTATACATTCCCACTAGTTTCTCGGCGACACTCGTCACCCCCGCCCCCTTTTCGATTCCGCTCTGGGGCCAACTAATTTCACATGAACATGTTAATATTTACACGCGTACCGCCGCGATTTTTATGTGCGCCCCCGCCGAGCAGTGCCGCCCCCTGCCCCTACTCCGCCCCCTACTTCGCCCATAACCCCCACCACCCCCAAGACGCAGGCAACGATCCAACCAACCACCGTCGTCAGCTTATCGCCACGATCGCCTCAAAATCCGACGATTGCCGAGCTCGTCTTGGGGAAGCGGCCCAGCGATCCCCAAGATCAGTCGCAGTTAGTCCGTCAACCTCGTCGCGTCTCTGCCATCCGCCATACTCGTGAGCCCCATTCGAAACTCCCATTCCCGAGATCTGCGTGGGCGCCAAGCAGCTGCAAGAACAAATCGTGATAGTGGGTCACATAGAGTTCTGTGAGCAGCGGATGACTTAGTTCAATACGAGATTTCAGTCGAGTGCCGCCCAAAAATGAGTGAAAGTTCCAGCTCCAGTTGCTCGAAGGATCGTGCCAAGCCGGTGGAAACCCTGGTTCTGGCCAACTATGCTCTGAAAGCCGAGCAGAAGAAGGCCCAGGGACAAGGTGGTCGAAAGGAGGACGAGCGCATCACCACGGCGGTGATGAAGGTCCTCGAGGGCTACGACTGGAACCTAGTCCAGGCATCGGCCAAGTGAGTACTTCCTACAAGCAATAATGGGTTCTTGATAACTCGTTATTCGAGAGAATAGGCTAAGTTATATGGATGGCCAAACTCAGGGTTCCGACGAGCAAATTCAGTCCTCAATGGAGCCGAGCCGCCGTTAAGCCGTGAATGACTAACCAACCTTCGATGAGTTCGCTGATTAACACAATTTCCAGGCACATATGAGGGTTTTCTTTTATTTAACTGCATAAACAAACTTGGCGAACCGCAAAGGCAAAGGAAGAGCAAAATACATGGGAGAAAAGGAAAGGGAGTACGATTGGGAATCCGCCGGCATTTATGTAAATATAAATGAATTTACACATTCACACATATTAGACAAACAACCACGGCAACAACAACCAATTGGCCAAAGGCAGAAATAATAGGTAGAGGCAATAACAAGCCACCAGATACAAAGATACGAAATACAGGCCTCAATAAATGCGCCGTGCAGAGTGGAACAAAATGCTCGAGATGAAGACGACGACGAAGACGACGACGACAAATCAATTCAGGCATAAAAAGCGAATAAATATGTTTTTAGCGTAAAGATGCTAACTGCTAACAAGGTGGAGGTGGGGTTCTTGGGGCGGAGGAGCGCCAACCCCAGCAGATCCCAACTCAAGCGGACCGCGCAGTTGACACTTGGTTCCGTATCTCGGAGTACATGTAGTGCTGCAGGTCGTGGGAAAGACGGGTGCCAGCAGCGGCTGATCCCTCAGATCTCTCGGATCCCTCGGACTCCAGATTCCCCACTTCCCAGATCCCTGATCCCAGATGCCAGATGCCAGATCTCTGATCCCAGATCCCTGATTCCTGATCCTCGGTAGCTCTATCTGTCTGTTTGACCGGCAATTAGCAAATGCCCGGGCTTCCACCTCCGGTCTTCAGGCAGCGCTCCAGTCTTATCTGAGCTTGTCCGCCGCCCTCAGTCGCTTTGTTCTCCGCGTCGCTTATCACTGGGCTGGGATTACACTGGAAAGAAAGGTTAACGAGAAGACTGCTAGTAAGTAGTTCCTTTCATGTGGTTTGACCAGCTGATGAATCTCAGCTCGAGTTTATACAACATGTTCTGAAACAGGCACATGAACCGCAGGGGTTTCTTCCATAAAGCTCGAAGACAACACGCAGTCAGTATTGATTTGCGATTCCGTTTCCCCCAGTGCAGCCGAGTGGAGCTGATTCTCAGCTGTCCAGGGACAAACATCCTTGGGCGCAGTTGGCCCCTCGTTGCGAAATGCGCAGAAAGCGCTGTCAAGAGCACGTGTGTGTTTGCACAAGGATATGAGCGCCATTTCCTTCCCTTTATCTATCCACGGCGGGGCTCCTCGCCGCCTCCATTCCCCATTCCCCACCCTCCACCTATCCAGCACTCCGCCCACTTGGAGCCCTCCTGCACTCACAGTCCCACTATCCCCCAACTCTCTGCAAATTGTTTACCTTGCGCTTTATGAGCCTTGTTTATTTCCACTTAAAATCGCTTAAATGCACATCGTTTGCCTCCAAGTCCCCGCTCACTTCACCAGATTACCACGTATCCCTGTCACCTTAAAATTAAATCTTTTAAATGGTGAAAATGTGCTGTAAGCGTTGTGCGGCAGATTCGTTTAATTGCTTCGCTTTTGGCCCTGATTGACGGCAGAAATTGATTCCAAATTGCTTTACTTTCTGCTTGGAATTTGGTTAGGATGAGCTAGGTATTTAGAGCACTGGCTTTTATCTGCCAAAGGTTCAGCCCTGCATTGTTCTTATAATTTCACTACTTAGTTACAAGAAAGCCTAAAGTGGCCTATGATGGTTTTATTGAATACGATGGAGCACTGCATATCGAACATATCTAACAATCTATATATATTTTTTGATCCACTTTTGGCGAAGGGGAGACCGCAAACATTATATGGTTGTTTGATTTGCTTAAATGAACTTCGCATGATTCACTTGGAAAACTGTTACTTAAGAGCAGCCCCAAAGTGCTGAGGAGCCACTTGAATAGTCCGACGATCGTCGTGGCACGATATAAGCCCCTATACACGTATATTTCCCTGCTTTGGGTGGGCCGGGGTTTGTTATTAAATAATACAGACACCATGTGCGGAACCCCTTCTTATGCGCCCTGCTCTATTTACTTGGCTCGATTAGATATGGGGCCCTACTACCACTACCACTACCACTAAGGAGGAGGAAAGTGAGCTCGTCGGAGGAGACGCCACTTCGGGTAGGACTTTGGCGACGCTATAAATATTTCATTGCTTATCTGCGTGTCCGGCCCGAGGTGTTATCACTCACCCATGGAGCACCCCTCGGCCAGGTGGGCAGAGCCAGAGCCGCCCCAGCCAGTTCCCAGTTCCCAGTTACCAGTTCCCAGTTCGCAGCCATCCAGCCCATCCATTCGATAGTTCCACTTTCGGCGCTGCGACGAGTCAATTTACATGGCCCCAACAAGTCATCTCGGGCAGCCTAACCAAACACTTCCCCATGGTGAAAGCTCCGCTGGAGGCCCCAACCACATCAGCTCAGCCCATGCAACCCAAGTGGGGCACAGTGGGCCAGATCCGTAAAGTTATTGGGGGCTGAAAAGCGGAGCAGCTACTTGGCGTCTTGGAGATCGCAGAATGAAGAAAAGCATCGTTAGCATGGCTTTCTTGGTTCATCTCGACTAACTTCCTTAAAGTTGGTTTAACCCTTTCGACAGCAGTAGTTCCACCGTTTCCTGGTCTTTGGACAGGAGCGGCCCACATGTTTGTAGCTGTTGCTCCGCCCCATGTTGGTAAAACCCCCTGCAGACCCCAAAAATCCGCCCAAGAGCAGCAACCTCAGCTTTCGGGCGCCGGTAAAAGTTTGTGCAGCGGCAACAAGAAGAACAGATACACGTGCGGCTTACAAGGCAAATATTGATTTTGTTGCTGCTGATGGCCCTGTTTTTGTTGCTGGCCCATAACCACAACTGCTGGCCAAAAGTTTCCAGCCTAGACTGCCTCGTTTTGCATACTTTTTGTTGCAGCAGGAATCTACAAAACATCGGCCGCTCATCTCCCCGAGGTGTTGTCGTCCTTCTGTGGGCGAGTTTTATGGCCAGGTGAGCGCGACAATGGCCGAAAAAGCTGCCAGCAACCAAAGTGCAAGTGAGCCGAGTCGGTGGCACGGTGTGAGCCAGAGCCAGCGAGGCTCAAAGGATTCCGCGATTAGGGCCGCAAAGTCTGGCCAAGGGAAAGGGGTACTTAAGGGCGGAAATGAAGTGGAACATCGATTTGATGAGCTCAAGAGTTTGCCATCCTGTGATGTCTGTCGTTGGGAGTATCTGGTACTTTACCACGGTATCTGTATATTTCGGCTATTTCCTTCGTTGATTTTATGCTTTACGAAATGGGGGATCTACTTTGGCAGCACACTAAAAATAATATTAGGTACTGAATATTTATAACAAGGAACAAGGACTTTAAAATCCTGAATATCCAAGGGTATCACCGTACTGAGTAAACTCCCTGGCGTTGCTAAGCTCGGGGTATTTTGCCAGATATTGAACAACATCTGCGCATAAAATTGAAGGCGCATTTGATCCGGCCATAAGCTTTTAGCCCAAGTACTCGCACATTTTGGCGCAAATCCGCTCGATATGCCTTTCGAAAGGGGTTCAATGGCTCAGCAGCCATTCCGCTTCGAGTCCTGTATTCATTTCGCATTTCAGTGTGCACTGGCGGCACTGGGAATCCTGTGGTCGCAGTTTCCGTGACGGGAACACCCACGCGATTATTCCTAGGATGCCGAAGTCTACCGGATTTCCCGTGCTGAAACTCCCGATGGATGGTCGGAAAATCGCCAGCGGCAAAATAGGTGTGGAAATTCAGAGCAAACTTTTCATATTTGCGAGATTCCGAAAACGCGCGCTACACTAGAAAACAAGCAAACATTGCTGGGCGGGAAGCAATAAATAATATTTGGTGTTGACTTGCTTTGCATTTGGGTGAATCATGCAAATTCTCACGAATCGTGGGGCTGGATTCTAAATATTTAACTACATTTTAGCGGCTGATTTCGATTGGAAGTGAGTCATTCCGTTTAGCACGACATATGTTAAATGTACCTAAGAATTAACATGCCCACATTTAGCACATTAAAGACCCTAAATCCGCTGTACAACCCATCCTGGTTGGGTCCACTTCACCACCAGGACAATCATCAAATGTCAGGGACATACGTATATTCGCATGCTACAGCATTGATTGTAGCTGCAACCACCCACCAATCAGGCGGCAAACAGCAAAAAATAAAGGGACCACCCACGAAAAGCAGGATGAAGCTACGCCACTTAAACTGTCGCTCTTCATCGCGTTGCCGCTGCCAGCTGCCACGCCCCTTCTCCCGGGTCCTTTCACGCCTACCGGTGGCTCCTAGCTGGTCAGCGGTGCAGGGGCATGGGCCGAACTCTCTGTCACTTTGCTCGAGTGCGGCACAGTGCGCTGTAAAAATAAATTGACTTGGAAATTGAAAAAAGCTGCAGAATGAAATGAAAATGAGAGTGGTGGTGGCGTGGAAGTGGAAGTGGAAATGGATGAGGACGTGGCCAAATGAAATGATAACACTGAATGGGCTCGAGATGAAGTGGCCAAGAGGCGGCTTAAATCGAAAGGGAAAGCTCAAAAGGCCGCTCTGCTCAAGAGGTCGCCATGTGTGGATGCTTCGAGGACACTCGCACTCCGATGGGTTTCCAATAAGTCCAGCCATTCCCATTGATCCCTGAACTAAGTAGCAGCCAATAACGAGATGTTTTCCTTGTTACCAGAGCCGCACAAAGTTGGCCAAAAGCACTGCGCAAAACTAAACTAAGCTGGCTAAAATTTGTTTCAAAGCATTGCATAAACCCTCTGCTTTCAACTTGGTAAACTTAGGTGATCTAACAATAGGTTCAATCATTTGAATAAATAAAATAATAAATTGGGCTATTATGCGGAAATCTGAAATGGTAATCCCATCGCCTGAAGTCATTTTCCGGATTTGCACAGTGCAGCTGGCCACGAAGGCTGAGCACACTCAAGTGCCAGTCCCACGGTAGCAGATCGCCCGGATTGTGATTAAAGGGGCAGTTCCAGCACCTTATCACCTTATCAGTGCCCTGGGTGTTTGACCACCTTTTCGGACGAATTTCGGGGGCCAAAACAGGGCGGAACATGAAAGAAGAAGGGCCGAGCGACCGCAGTTCAAACAAGCAACTGCATCCGTTGGATGCATTTTAAATTTGTTTGACAAAAGTCAAACCAGTCGTAAAAGCGGCGGCTGCGTGGGAAAATGTGGGCACTGCCTAAGCAAATAAGAAATAAAAACGAAAATACAGGCTGCAATTTGTTTACACGCGCTGTATCTGTTAGATACATTTCATATTTGTGAACTTGTGAAAATCGCTGAGACGTCTCCGCCGCTAATTAGGCGCATTTGTCCCCAGTTTTTGACATGCGCTTACAAATTGGAAATGAAAATGGGCATGGAAATGGAAATGGACATGGAATTGGGAATGGGAGTGGGAGTTTTCATGCCGTGTTTACAGCGCTTCGTGTTAGGGCCGTAAATATTTGGGATGCCCCTCCTCCCCCCACTGTAAAATTTAATAACAAAAGCGGCAAATGGCCCATTGCTGATAAAAGAGGCGCAACAAAAGCCGAAGTGTATCTTCGCATCTTCGCATCTCTGTATCTTGTATCTTTGGCATATGCGAAAAATGGAAAGCTGCAAATTCAAAATTCCTCGCAGTCTCCGCTCATTTCTCATATTTGCCCATGAGCTAACGGCCACTTGAAGATATCACTTAATGAGATTTGCGCATCTCCGAATGCAACAACAGCAGCAAATAATGAAGACGTGCTTGAGTTGCCAAGTGCCCCGGGTATGTGCTGTGCATATATGTATCTCTGAGGTTCGGCGGTGCACGGTAAGAAATTAAACAAATTAAGTTACTTGCGCCATGAACACGAATAATATTCCGCCTTGCATGCAGACTTGTGTATGGATACTTTGGATATTCCATGTGTGGCATAAATTGCTCACCATTTCGCTCAGTGCACGCCTGGGAATAGCGCACCACCTCCCAAGTCCCAGAACCGAGTGCAGCAGAACGAACATCACTTGATTCTGATTAGCGTGCTGTCAAGCGTGAGAGCTGCATACACTTGTGCTTATATATGCGCGCAGATACTTTTGAATCGGGGAGCTTGGCCGTATCTGAATGTTGGTGGGATGCTGGAAGGGGCGGGGTCGTGACGCCGACGATACCAAACGGCAGATAACAAACCCCAAGATGATGTCCATTTGGCCCCGGTTGCGTTTTAAATCGCTTAATAAGCGCGGCCGAACTAGTAATTAAGCCCAGGCGAATGGCGGCGGGCAATATATAGGTAATATATAGGGGTTTTTGGGCTAATCAATTCACCTGCTTATGGATTTGCACTGATTGAAAACAGATTCTCCCAATTGCCGCGCAGGCACAGGATGCACTCAGCCATATCGAATAAACTCAGCCGCAAAGGCACTGGCACTGCCACTGCCACACGCACACCCAACTCAATTGAAGGATTTACCTAACAAATCCCTGCCCTGATCATGTTTACTTAGGATAAATAATTCAATATAGAAGGCTCCGCAAAAAGGTGGGCAGCCCGGGCACACTGCCATAGTGCTCCGCCCTGGAACGCCTATCTCCTTGATTGAATCTCTGTCTTGCTCGGCGCTCGACTTGCTAAATAAAAGTGAATGAGTAGATAGGAACAATGTGGGTGCTCGGATGTGTGATGTGTGAGTTAGGGTGTCCTCTTATACATCACTGCCGAAAATATGTAGAAAGGCTTTTACATTTTTGTATTGAAAACCAGACTTCAGGCCCACTAGCAGAACGAGTATTTAGAGAAATAGATGGGAATTAGACAGCAGCAGGCTGAGGTTTCTTGGAAAAATGTATTTCATTGTGCAATGATATGGCGCACATGGGAACACCACAGTGTTCGTGGAAGAGAAGTTATCATACGCCCCGTTGGTTTTATTTGGCCGAGCTTGTGTCGTTCTGTCAATGGATTTATTGGGAAGTGTGGCAAGAGGCAAGTGGATGGACTTGGACGGACTTGGATGGGGATAAAATCGTTGTACACTTTATGCAAAGTCAAGAGTTGAGGCAACCACTTAAAGGATTCCCAATGCTTTTCGGCATTGCTGAAATAGATTTTGCCCCACCAAAAGCCCACTTCTCTCGAATTTTGCACGATTTTGCTGATTGCCTTTGTTTGCACTTCACTTTTGCACTGCCCGCTGGCATTTGAGCTGGGAAATACATTTTTGACTGCACTCTTGAACTTTTCCGGCACTCTGGTACTCTGGTACCAGAGAGCCGGCCTTGATGCCATTTGTGCATTCTATTTGCCACGGCAAATAAAAGTTTTAATTGCAAATTTCAGTTTGACATTATGCGTTGTTGTGCCGCTTTTCGGTCTGCGACGTCTTTTAGCAATTAACGAAACTTGTTTACCCGGCCAACAAGTCACTGCATTTCTGACCGATCTCTCTCTACCTCAATTCCAGGGCGCCCACGGACCGCAAAAAGGAGCACATCAAGCGCCCCATGAACGCCTTTATGGTTTGGGCCCAGGCAGCCCGCAGGGTCATGTCCAAGCAGTATCCGCATTTGCAGAACTCGGAGCTAAGCAAATCGCTGGGCAAGCTGTGGAAGTAAGTACTGGCTATTCTATACCCACTGCACTATATATACTTGTACATCACTCCGATTGGGGGACTGCCGGGGGGGAGCGAAACTGAGGCACGTATCTGGCTGCGTAAACGCTGGGGCATGGACCACTTGAAAAGTGTCTTTTATAAGCCCCACTTCTCGGCCAGACAAAGGAGCCATCTGCAGGGGTGGCGAGTCCCACAAGTTTGGTTAAGGGCTTTCCGTCGAGACAGGGAATTGCATCAGAAGGCGGGTTGTGCTGTCAAAAGGGGAATCAGTTACCCAGAGGACAGCTCAGCAACTGCAGCTCAGCAAATAAGTTCGGATAAACATCCAGGAAGCCAAGATAAATATATTAGGTTCACCTGCTGGACACTTTCCCCAGAAAGTCATGAGCTGCAAGCTGGAATCCCACACTTAAATGCATTTTGAAAACAGGGCTTACCTCACATTTCCATAAAGCGCACTGGAGGCCAAGGAAATGTCGCATCTATTCTTATGCTCGAGAGCTCTGTGGGTCGCAGTGACAGTTAATTAAACAGGATTTATTTATGGGCCAACAAATTGGTCCAGCTCCATTCGCAATTAGTTGGGGCGGATGCTGCGACTTCTTATCAGCCGAAGACTCCGCTTCTTATCGCCAGTCGCCCCAAAGCGCTGAACTGTGAAATTTTAATTTCGAGCCGCACAATATTTTATTACAAACAATATATGAAATCGACGCCGCTGTGTCGCAGATCGCCTTTTGGCCTGACGGATTTGCATTAATCACGAAGCGGAGATCTGCGGCAGATAGCTTTTAAGAATAGTGTACCAGTGTTTCTTAGGCCTGGTCGATGCTTATTTATAAATACAATGCTTCAAAGTATCGGCTCCACTCACTATACCCATTTACACTTGCAGAAACCTAAAGGACAGCGATAAGAAGCCGTTCATGGAGTTCGCCGAGAAGCTGCGAATGACCCACAAGCAGGAGCATCCGGACTACAAGTACCAGCCACGGCGCAAAAAGGCGCGGGCAATGCCGAGCCAGCAAAGCGGGGAGGGGGAATCTCCGGGTCCACAAATGGCTTTGTCCGCCGCGGCGGGCAACTCGGGGAAGCCAAGGAGCAGCAATTCCAATGGCCAGAGGCGAACTGGAAAATCAAATGCAGCTGGTTTGGCTGGCTGCGCCTCCACCATCTCCCACTCCAATGTGGGCACAAGCTCCTCGGATGTCTTCAGTAATGAGGCCTTTATGAAATCCCTGAACAGTGCCTGTGCGGCCAGCTTGATGGAGCAGGGCCTCATCGAAACTGGCCTGGACTCTCCGTGCTCCACGGCCAGTTCCCTGTCCTCGCTGACGCCCCCGGCCACGCCCTACAATGCAGCGCCCTCGGGTGCGAAAGCAGCGGCAGCAAATAACCCCAGTCTCCTGCTAAGGCAACTAAGTGAGCCAGTGGGCAGTGCAGGCCATGATTATGGAGTTCTGCTCGAGGCGGGCAGGGAATATGTGGACCTGGGTGAGGTCAACTATCAGGGGCAAACGGCGGGCGTTCAGGGCGGAGCAGGCGGCGGAGCGGGCCAGGAGATGGACTTCCTGGAGAACATCAATGGGTATGGTGGCTACGAGGGCAGTCGGGTGAGCTACCCAGCCTACTCCTACCCCACAAATGGGGGCCACTTCGCCGGCGAGGAGCAGCAGCAGCAGCAACAGCAGGCGTCACAGGCCACTGAAGCCTTAAATTACAAGCCAGCAGCCGCCGACATCGATCCCAAGGAAATTGACCAGTATCTCATGGATCAAATGCTGCCCATGGCGCAGCACCACCATCCGCACCACACGCACCCGCTGCACCACCCGCTGCAGCACCCACTGCACCACTCGCCGCCTTTGAACTCCTCCGCCTCGCTATCCTCGGCCTGCTCCAGCGCCAGTTCGCAGCAGCCGGTGGCTGAGTACTACGAGCACTTGGGCTACTCCCCGGCCGCCTCCTCCGCCGGCCAGGTCCCCAACTTTGGCCCCCAGCAGCCGTACGGCAATGGGGCGGCCTCCCTGACCCCCACTCTGGGTGACCCCGCACCGCAACAGGAGCTGCAGTCCCAGCAGCAGCAGGAGCAGCAACAGCAGCACCAGCAGCACCAGCAGCACCAGAATCCATCGCAGCATCATCTGTGGGGCACTTACACTTATGTCAATCCCTAAGCTACTTCATTTGCACATTTGTTGTCGGGCACAGAAAGAAAGTGGGCTTCGAAATTCCCGAAAGAAATAATTCGTTTTGGTACTCAGTCAGAGAATTCCAATTGCAGAGTTATCAAAAGTCATTCCTAAATGTTACCCATTAGTTTTGACCGATTTGGAAAACCCAATTCCTTTTATCTAAATTTGTACCGCCTGCCGAATATTATTTAAATATTTATTTCCCACGTTGTTGTAAATTAATTTAAAATAAAAGAGTGTCTTATAATACGTATATGAAAGTATTTAGCCAACATGCGTCGCACCTAATTTCTCTCCGTGCACCTCCGCCCCCCTCACTTCCGTTTCCGCCCCTCTTTATGGGTCACTTAGATGGCTTTCGTTTATTGGTTTATTGTCTGTGCAATGTCCGTGTGAGCGTGAGATTGTGCATGTGTGTGTTTTTGGCTCGAGGGTCTTTTTGGAGATTCCCTGCAATTTAAGCTAATCGCTGCGATTTTCGTTTATGGCTGCATTATTCCTTTGCCCATCAATATGCAATTCCAGCAGAATCGAAGAAAGAACCATCTAAATGGAAATTGGCAGGGAGTGGCAAAAATATCGAGTTCATAGCTAATTGGAGCAATATAAACTAGTAGTTATAATTTCTAGTTGTAAGAACATAATGTTTAGAATTGGCAAGTATACGAAATGTACGAGCAATATTAAGGAAATATATAAACACATTATTTAAAGCAGCGCTTGTCGTATAAAAAATGAATGAAGTCACCCAGATTTAAGGGACTTTGAGTTTAGAGGTGCAGAAATGGGCTTGTGAAAGGTAAGCAAATCACAGTTGTGTGAATTTTCAGTTTCAGATTTCAGGCAATGGAAATCAAGAGCGGCATCCCAGTTTTCCCTCGAAACAAGGCCAATTCCAAATGGCCAGGGGCTGGTAGAAACCCAGTCAGCTGGGCGTGGCTATGACAGTTTCCCACACTCGCAGATCATATTTGGGCTTTGGTGTCTACACCTGAGCTGTGTGGCACCTGTAACCGTTGTAAAACCAAAAAAATTCCTGTGAAATTAACACCCGCCTACCAAACGGGTTTTCATTTCGTTTTTTTTTTGTTTTTTTTGCTAAGCAAAACAATTTGAGACAAAATGAAAATCACACGCAGCTTCGAATGGGCAACGCAGTTTTTATTTATTTGCCGTCTTCTTTTGAATTTTATTTAGCACGGCATTTATTTTATTTATACAAATTTGGAAGCTTAAGTTCAATTTGCGCCTGTAACAAGTTGTTGTTAATTGAAGCGCAAGCAGGAAGGCAAAAAAATAAAAATAAAACAAGATGGGCATTAGAAGAGCAGAAAAAGCAATGGCCATGCCAAAATGGCCGTAAAATAAAATGGCCGAGGGCAAACAGAAATTCATTTATATGTGTGTGCATTAATTTCGAAAGTTGCAAATTAACACGTTTAGCGAAACCCTTGTTTATTTACTCACAATATTTATGAGCAGTATTTATTTTCCGATTTTTTCGCTTCCTTTCATTTGGTGCCAGGCGCCCGACGCTTTCTCACTAATTATGTAAATTATTTTCGCCGATTGGGCAGAAGATCTGATGAAATTGTTGCGCCCCAAAAGTTACAAGAAAGTATCGCAAACTTCTCGGGGCTAAAAGCAGGATATTGGGAAGTACGTGCCGAAATTAATAATCAGTTAATAAGATTGAATTATTTGTACCTAAATTAGTTTTGATTGAGTTCTTCAGTGTCGTACACTTAAAAATGGCTATAATTTTATGACAATTCGTTTTTAAAATATAAGTAAATAAAATACAGAGCGAAATGCATGAAAAATTATTATTTAGTTAACAATTAAATAAGCTACGTGGAATTATATTTTTATATTTTTTATATGTTAATTCAGTAGCCTATTTGATTTGCATCTCTTCAATGATTTTCAGAATTTCCGAATAATTTAAATGGAAATTGCTTTGCGTTCTCAGTAATTGCACACTCATGATTAGGGAATAATTTAATTAACTCAATTTGATGATTGGCAGGCAGCCTTGAGAAACATTATTCATTTCGAGGGAGCACGAAATTCGCTCACGTGGCAAATCGGAAGCGGAGCCAAATGCATCCAACCAGCAAATGTGAATGTCATTCCTCATTAAGATCCGAGAACAAATGTTGTGATGGCCCGACTTCCCACCAAGGACATCCATTTTCGTTTGGGATTGCTTAAATGTTATTAAAACTAATGATTTTTGCAGCAAACTTTGGCCATCTGCGCCTTTACGCCTGGTCATGCAACGTGTCGTATGCGTAATGGCATTTTGTGCTCGTGCCCAGTGCCCTCGGCGTAACTCAATTAAACTTTCCTCTGCGGTCTCAGTTTAAATTCACTTAAAACTTGAACGATTGGAGAGATGGAGATGGAGCACTCGGGACGGGACACTCTCATTAGACGTCGGCTTAGCACCTGGCAAAATGTTATTCAAATTAAGCTGCACACGAGATCCGCCTAATGGCCGTTGAAACTTCTGACCCCCTCGGAAAATTCAGCTTGAACTTCGGACCCTCCTCGGAAAATTCCGCTGGAACCGGTGGGGAGTGTGCCAGAAATTGGAAAACCGAGGCGAATGGATAGCAGGGGAGCCCCGCGTAATGGCCGCATTCTTGCTGTTGTTTTCCTCTGCAATTTCTTTTCGACGGCGGCAAAATGTGAAAATGTCAGGCACTCAAGCAGCTCGAATTATCCTGCGGAGCAGCGTAGAAAAAACAAAAAGCGAAAATAATAATGTCAGCCATTTGAATAAAATATAAGGCGAGAAAAGTTAAACGTAATGCCAAAGCCGCGGCCGCAACCAAGCTCCATTCTTTTGCCGACTCGAAATTGAAATTTCGTTTCGTTTTTAATACTCTTGGAAGAGATGGTGTTGGCACGATGGAATCATGGACATTTCTCTAGATTACACATCTTGTAGTGTGCGAATGAGCTTGTCGCCATAAATCTGCCAGGATTTTAAATTAAAATGTGATGCGCTTCGGACAACGTAGCCTTTGACAGCTAGATTTACGTATTTACTATACAAAATAGTGAATTATATTTAATTTTTTATAATTCCATGAATGTAATGCATATTTTTTTAGATTAACTGCACAAATGTATTCAATGTTTTCGTTTGAAACGTATACAAACAGAAATACCCGAGGTATCCCAAAATCGAAAGGTAAACACTGAAACCTCTCAGTTGCCTTCTCAATTTGACCTGCCTCGTTTAACCGAAATATATTCGAATTTTTAATGTGACCCCGGCCCGTGAAAAGGCAAAAGGCGGGAAAGGTAAGATGATTTTAATGGCGGGCAGCATTAGGCAAAAACCCCTCCCCATAACGACTACCCACACCCCTGTCCGCACTGCTTGCGCTAGCAGAGGGAAGTGCAAACACAGTAACACTGGAGGAACTGCTTTAATGCGCTCGCCCGAAAGTATGCAGCGAAATAAATTTGTTTGCGCATCAATCAAAGCGATTTTTCGGCAAAAGGGGCGTTGGCAAAAGGGGCGTTGGCAATGCGTGGGCGTGGCCAAGCCAAGTGCGGGAGCCGAAAAATCACTTTTGGACCAGCGCATTTGGCCCATCAATCAGCGTCAGGCAAATGCTGCTTATCATATTGCTGGTATACGAAAAAAAAAACGCTGGCAGTGCATCAAATTGATATTTGTCAATAATCTTTTTTCGTCTGCGGATGTTGCGGCGGATTCTGCTGCGGATGCTGCTGCGGCGCCAGCTGCTGTGATAAATGTCGACTACATGACAAAATATGCTCTGCGGGCAGCTGCGGCGATACATAAAATGTTCGAAATCACCAGCAAATGGCTACATCAATTTAATTAAAAATGCTTACTTTATGGTGACATGCAAAAAGTATCAGTTTTTACGACGCGTTCGCTTTTTGTGCCGTTGGCCTTTGGTAGGGCTAATTAAACAGTCACTTTTGTGGCCGGAAATTGACAAGTGCGTGCATTATTTAATGCCATTGCGTCATGAGATGTAATTGAAACGCTCCTCACAGCAATTGAATGTGTAGTGCTGTTTTCTTTTAATAATTGCTTAAAATGCAATTAAAGTGTTATTTAATATTCTTTGCGCATGACTTTGCTCCACAATCCACATGCTTTACTATATTATCGAATATATCTTCTTGGTAATTCACATTGTTGTGTTCCAAATCAGCCAAATCATTCGGTCGTCGCTTGAATAAATCAAATATTTGCCCGGAGACTGCGCTCTCAGTTAATATTTGTCCTGCCCTGTACTCGGCTGAAGACCCCCATCTCTGCAATTGGGCGATGCGAAACTATCAACTCGACTCGAAGGACAACTTTACACAGCCCCCCATTAGCCAAGGCATGGACTGCCCCGAGCCCAAATGGCCCTATGTAGATACTCGATGTGGATGCTACATGTGGAGCACCCCTGGCAGTTGCTACTTTGTCAGCTCCTTTGCCTTCCACGGGCTTCTGTCGGCTTGTTTTCAATTATCAGGCATTACACTTAGGTACACACTTTGATACACATCATTGCCTTTCCGTGCTGTGTCCTCTGTGCGTGTGTTCTCGTCCTAATCAATGAACATTGAACAACTTCTGGCATGTGGATGGAGTGCAGCTCTTTGCGAACACATCTGCATTTTACATTCACTGAGTGAGAAACACTCGGGGGGAAAAAACAATGCATACACAATGTACTCTATACAAGGCTTACCTATTTTACCTGCCATGCCGAACATTATATTCACTTCTTAGATGCGCTCATCCCACTTCACTTTGAATTGATAACTCAACTTTTATCGCAAACTTATTATACACTTGGGGTACCATAATAACATAACAGGAACCTTGGAACTTCTATTGTGAAGGTGCAAGTGCGTAGCTCTATCTGATTAGCGATTGCACCATTAACCCCTTGCGGCCTACACGTACACGTATGTGCGAGAAAATTGAAATTGGCTTTTAACTAGATTTCCCCCCTCTACCCTTTCACTGACGCCTTGCGTGAACAATGAGTTGGCATATTTTAATTAACCCATTGTGCCCGAGTTCCTGTTTCCTGCCAACAATTATCATTTGCGAACGTATTCGCACGGCGCTCGACAAAACGACGTTGACAGTCAGCGGTTTTTAATTAACTTTACAAGTCCCGCGATTCTGCGGAAACTAAAGACTGAAAATAGAGGGTTGTGGCTGACTTTGATTTTAGCCATGGAAAATTTTACAGAAAATAGGGAAAATGCTTTCAGGAATGGTTTAGAGACGGGGTTTTAAATTTTGTTTTAAATTGAAATATTTGTGGCAGTTTTCGGGCATTAATAAAACAATTTGAGCCAGACCGCTTTAAAGCTAGTTCATGCAAAAACCCTACGCAGCAGTTTAAAGAATTTCCTTTGCTAGAATGGTTCCTCCCA